TGAACCTGCACCTGAACCTGAACCTGAACCTGAACCTGCTGCTGGTGGTGCTGCTGCTGTTGCTGCTGGCACTGCCACTGCCACTGCATTGGGTGATTCTTCACCCAGCACTGTCACAGCAGGGCCATCACCAGGCACCACTGCAGGCACCACTGCAGGCACCACTGCAGTCACTTCTAAAGAATCACCAGAGGCAAGAGAATCAAGAGAAGGAAGCGAGTCGAGAGTAGGAAGGGAGTCAAGGCAGGGATGTGAATCAAGAGTAGACAGAGAATCAAGAGGGATGGCGGAATCCAGAGAAGGAAGCAGCTCCACATATCCCCTACCCTTGACACATGCTCAAGCGAGATCACAGATCCCATGGGGGGAGAGGAGGGGGACTGACAGCTCTGCGGCTTCCAAGATAATTTCCTCATCCGAGTATCGCCCAAGCACCACCACGCTCACGATCCTCTCAGACTCCGTGATTCAAGCCCAATAGCCGCGAGAGGAAAGCGGGGAATCGGGGAGCAGTGGTCATCAGGCGGTCAACGGCCGCAGCCTCTGATTCGTCTGATTCCCGGAGCAGTTCAAAAAGAGCCTCTGTAACAGCTGCTGCAGAATCCGTTCCCTCAAATCCGTTGGGTGTTCCAGGGAGGGTCCTGGTGGTAGGTGGTGCAGGCTCTTGAGCGGCAGGAGGCAGAGGATTCACCTGATTCAGAGACTGAGAATGAGGATATCTGCTCAGGGAGCGCCGGGATTCCCAACAGGAGATAATCTGAGTTCGCTGTTGCTAGGGATTCTGAGTCCGCAGCTGCAGCTTCTGCTGCCACTGCTTTCTCTGTTGCTGCTGCTTCTGCTTCTGCTTCTGCTGCTTCCGCTGCCCGCTGCTGCTGCTGCTGCAGCCACCCTTTCTGCTGCCACTGCCCTGTCAGCAGCTGCCTCTGCAAGCAGCGGCGGCAGGAGCAGCATACTGCCAGGCCTCAAACGCAGGCACGCCGGCAGCTAGCAGCAGCATAGCGCGGATCATGGACCAGCACAGGGATCGGAGTCAACCCAGAAAACCCCGAGGGAGAGGCCGAATACGCCTGCTCCAAAGCCGCAGCCGCCACTGCTGATGCTTCCGCCGCTTCTGCCGCTGCTGCTGCTGCCGCCGCCGCTGCCAGCTTCTGCCGCTGATTCAGCTGGCAAAGCAGGAGCAGAGGACTGGGCGGTGGAGGTTTGGAGGCCGGCGAAGCGGGCAAGATCAACCCACTGGGAGGTTCCCCAGTAGGAGTTGAGAGTACGCGCAATCATGGAAAGCGCTGCTCCTGCCATGGGGTTGGCTGCTAGGTAGTAATCCGCGATCCAGTGCTCCACTACCCCGCCTATCACCTGGTACCGGAGATTCGCTGACGTGGCAAGGAACCCGCCATACACTGCAGCAGTCTTCAGCACAGGGGACCGCTTCGTTGCAGCAGGCGCGTTAGCAGCAGCACCAGCGGCAGCGGCAGCGGCAGCAGAAGCAGCGCCGCCAGCAGCAGACAACTCTCCCAGGCGGTTCTTCACCTCCATGAACAAATTATTCAGCGCTACAGTGCCAACACTCGCCGAGAACCCTACAGTGAACAGCTTCCCGCTTGTAAAGAGGATGGACGCGAGCCGCTGCTGCAGCCCCCAGTCTTGCCCGGCTGCGTCGCCCTCTGAAACGCGTTCTTCGGCAGCGTCGCAGCCCACGCACCCACACCTGACACCAGCTGCTGCACCGGCCCTTGCACCGCCCCCGCTGCGCCAGCCGCTCCTGCTGCTGCGGAGCCCGCGATTGAAGAGGCGGCAGAGGCGGCGGGGAACGAGAGCGTGGGAGCGGGTAACCAGACGGTGAAGAAATTCACGATCACGCCGCGCAGCACGTCCGTCGCGACGTATTCGATCTCCGACCAGAATCGATCGCGCCGCTTCTCCCACTGCGCCAGCAGCGCCGTCGTGACGCTGATCGCCTCCTCAGTTACTATCCGTTGGAGGAACCGCGGGTCGGCGTACACGCGCTCCCGCAGCCCCTGGAAGCGCTTCGTCGCCTCCGCGACTAGCGGGTGGCTTTCTAACTCGAAGAACGACTGGAGCGTGTCCGGAGAGATTAATCCGCGTTCTATCCCCGTTTGTAGGTCCTGCGGTAGGTTGTCGAAGGTTCTCCCCGCTGCGCCCATCACGCGCGCGATTTCCGCCCTGTCATAACAGTTTTGCGTGCACATGCGGCTGCCCGAGTACCAGAAAAAATCGGCTTCGGGGCAGTTCACCGTCTCCCCGGCTGCGCTGGCGCTCGGGGTTGAGAAGGACCACTCGTTGCGACCCAGCAGAAATTTTCAGTTGCCCGTTGTTGATCCGGGCAGGGACTCCGGACCCCTGCGCTCCGTAGCGCACTTGCGACGCGCCCGTGAGGACGACGAGCAGCCCGACGATTCCGCCGTCCGCCATGGCCTGATCGATGCTGCGCGCCACGGCGTGCTGCTCCACCACGCGCGCCTGCGCGAACCAGTACGGCCCCGGGCCGAAAGGCAGCGACGCTCGCGAAACGGCTTCCCGCGAGTACACCTCCGCCGCCACCGCCGCTGGCTCCAGCCCCCACAGCCCCGCCGTCGCGGATGCCGCCGCGGAGCTGGTAAGCGGTTGGTCGGTTGATGCGGAGGGCGAAGGCGCGGGGAAGCCGCCGAGGGGAGGGGCGTAGCGCTGGCGGTCGATGGGGCGCGAGGGCTTGCACTCCGCCTGCCTGCACCGAGCGCAGAATCTGACGCGGAAAGGGGCGCGCGGGGGAGAAGGAGCGGAGGGCGGGGTCGAGAAAATGTTAAGTCAAGTCTTCGAGGTGAAGAAGAAAAGGGAGCGAGGGAGCGAAGAAGTGAGGCCTAAACAATTAACGATGTGCCGAGGTTCTTGTAATGACTACGACGCGCCGCTCACCTTAGGAGGCACGCCGCACGCGAAGAGGCGGACGCCCGAGTCGCGGCAGTACTGCAAAAGCGGAACCATCTCCTCGAAGCGACCCTTGGACCAATGGCTCACTGCCACCTGGAGGTCCTCTTCAGAAAGCCTGGCAGAGAAACAAGATGCGGTCAGAAATACGAGATACAGGGAAATAAATAACATCTCGAAATAGAGTAACGGTGCAGCGCGTACAAGAAGATGCCTCACCTTTTGTTGAGATATTTGTCGAGAAGCGGCTGCGTGGATCGCGGAAACGCAGAGAGCGCGAGGGTGACGGGGCGCCCCGCCTTGAAGCACTCGTCTCTCAACCGACTTACGATTTCCAGAGCCACGACCTGAATAATTTAAGGCGAGGTAGGCGAAAAAAGGAAAAGAGAACGTCTTAGAGGGAAGCATGGTCTTCAACGATTAAGCCTTAATATGTATGTTGCAGAAATGGGGGCAGCATGTGTCAAGATATACCGAAAACTAGTTGGAAGTAGACAAAACACAAAAACAATGGCGGAATTAAGACTATACCTCCATCGTCAAGCCTCACCTTGTCCGTCGGGTCGCGAACCATCTCTGCTTCGCCTAGGTACACCACTCGAGCCGCCAAAGTCGCTGCCACACGCCCTCCTTATCCCCCAGCAGCGCCGGCTCTCCGACCGCCGTTGCGTCGTACACACGCGACTCGGGGCCCTTCGGCGCTGCCGCGGCCTTCGCGCCGCCATCCACGCTCACCCCGCGCCGTTAGCGTTGCCGAGGAACCACAACGGCGACTTCTCTTTCCCCGCTTCCGCCGCCGCCGCGTTGACCAACCCCAGCTCGGCGGCGGCTGCGGCGCCGAGTGCGGCGGCGCCGATGCCAAGCAGAGCGCGACGATTCAGACGAGGAGTAGGCAAAGCGAACCGAGACGGCAGTTGCGGAAGTACGATCGCGGGGACAGGTGCCGATTGCGCTTCGTCGTCTTGCTGAGAGAGAAGCTTCGATTCTGCCGGAATATCCTCGCTTCCGCCCGCAGAAGTCTCCGCAGAGTTGGTCCGGGAAGCCGCGGGGCGCGCAGAGACGGCGGAGATTAAGCGCTTAATCGACCGCAGTGCTGGTGGAGCCTTAATCACCAAGACCGAGCCGCAAGGGTGCTGAGGCCATATATCCGCGCTTCTAAGAGCAGGTGCAAGGGCGAGTCTGGCCTTGACTCGCGGTCCGGTTTTTTTACTGATGGTTGAAGAAGATGAAACCCGATCTTTCGAGGAAAGTCCGCCACGCGCCCGGGAAGTTGTCCCGCGAAAGAAGTTGGTACCGGAAGAAGACAGAGGAGGCCGTCCGCTGAGAAACGATGACGAGCTGGAGGCGGCACGGTCAAGAAGCGGGCTTGGAGACCCCACGACGCGGGAAGCCATTGCTGAAGGGGCTGCGCTGGTCATGGCTGGTCTTGATCTTTACAAAATAGCAGGGGAAAAATTAAGGCTTAATGAAAAAATGTTAGTGTCGATGTTTGACGCTCAGTCTTGTCAGATGTCAGAGTCGGGTCGGTCAGAGACTCGTGCGGACGCGATGATTTCGCCAAGGTACCGGCCTTGTCCACCAGTTTGGAGCAGCGATTGAAGAAAAATAGTAAATGTACGTCCTGCTAGCTGAGTGTTGAAGACTCAAGGGTCCAAACGGCAGCCATGGTTGACGCCTCGAGCGTCGAACTGGATATGCTGACCGCTCCAACTGCGACGTTCACACCCACAATTGCCCGATTATGATGGGGAACCGGGTCTTCTATAGGCAGCATCGCGTACGGGTGAGTAGCATCCATGGCGGTCCTGCATTTCAGGTCGGAGTAACAGGCTAGGAGCAGAAACGGTTTCAGAGGGTCAGAAACGCGGGAAACAGAATCGAGGAATGGTCTGGAAGTGGGACCAGACAGGCAGGCTGGGGGGAATGATTGGTGTGAACTGGTGCTGGGGGTGGTGCGGGAGATTATGTGACAGGGATGAATGGCAAATGGCCTTCGGCTGGGGGTGCAGCGTGAGCGTGCTTTGCTCCGCCAGCGTCTGCCCACGCAACCGTGCCATTCGTCCGCAGCAGGTGCAGCAGGAACCAGGCGCGCATACATTCGTTACGGACATCTCGGGAATTTTCCCGAAAGATGGCACGGGGAGGTTGTTACAAGGGGTGCGCAGCGGGTGTGTTCTGCAGGGCGGCAGAGGGTAACAAGGAATGAAGCGGTCACTCTGGGTGTTTGTTTGGCCCGATCTCCGGGGGCATGGTTCACATGGGTCAGAGAAATTTGGAGATTTTTTCAGATGCGGTCCGTCGAACTGACTTTGTTTCCTGGTTTTCCGTGGACTACTGTCGATGTTCACCACACTGAGCATCAGACTGGGTTTGAGTTTGGTCAGTAGTGTTGACGGGAAACTGAACAGCGATGATGCTTGAAAGGGGCAATAGTAAAGCAGCTTCGGCCGTTTCTGAGGAAAATATTTTGCGTTTGCCCGCCAGCGATTCGTTTGCAGAGCTCCGAACGTGTCAGCGGGCAGAGCGACACGCTGGGTCCCAGCCCCCACTTCATGCGAGGTTCTAGGCACGGTGCCCGTGACCCAAGGAAGGGAGGACCACCACAGAATCTTTCGAACCGCTGAAACATGCCCGGGATGCAGGAACATAGGGGGTTATCCTCTGCCGCTCATGATTGGTTGCCACGAAATTCTTGTGGCTACGGCGAAGGAGATCGACGGTTGTCGAAGGCTTGCGGCGTTTGCGGGGAATTCTTCGTGGATATCCGCATACGTGGCACACTGTTCTGACGTGTTCGGATTACACCACCAAATGCTCGGCCAACCTCGAACTTGCTTCTCTGTTCTGTCACACACGCACTGCTCCATACCTTGCAACGCCATTGACCCATTGACCTAGTCAAGAAACCAGCATGCCTCCATTCCCTCACCAACTCAAACCCAAAACTCGAGGGTGTCAAGGATTGCAGTTGGACTTTCTACGCTGGCAAAACGGGGTTTTAGGAGTGGGTGAACTTTACACGTCAGACCAAGAGTGAATATTCTATGTCTTCGATAAGATGCCATTCCTCGTCAAAGACGTCCTCAATCTGAGAACTGAATGAAAGCACATGAACTTTCTGTGTGATTTGTGTTTAAGTTCATTTCTACTCCACTTTAGATGCCCTTCACCTCCTTTTCTTACTTCAACATAAAGTATCTAAAATGTGTGTTATTTTGTGATCAACTAATATCTGACTAAAACAAAGCTTGTGATCCATGGCCTGACGCATGAGTGTGGGCCTGGGGCGTCATTTGTTTGCTGGTACAACCTGCAATTGATGTGCTTTCAAACTAATGTCGAGGATCTGCCCTTGAACAATCACCTTCTTTATGAAGCATCAGCCAACTCTTGGTGTCATGTGCGGAAAAACACGCACTCCCGCCTGGGAAGCCGCAGCTCCCGGAAATGTTCCACGGTCCCACGCACAGCCACGGGAAGGTTAGAGAGGACGAGAAGGTGGTACGTGGTAGTGAGCGCACGGGCATCATGTGCGACCCGCGCCTTTCCCTTCGGACACTCCTCGTCCCCCTCCCCCGTCCTCCTCTCCGCTTTCCCCGTCCGCCAGTGCGCCAGTGGGGCATGCCCACGGACCTGGCAGCGGTGGCGCTACTGGCGCAGGCGACTTTTGAGGCGACTCAAAAGTCACATGGCAGCCGTGGCTCTACGGGCGCAGGTGGCGGACGACTAAGTGAGGGGCGATAAGAGCACATCGGATAAGAGCACATTCGATAAGAGCCGCGCCAACCTTCTCGCGCTCGTCGCGCAGACAGGGGGGAGGCGGGGGCTCGCGGGAGCGGGGGCGGGGGAGCAGCTGGGGGAGGAGCTGATCGCGGAGCTGGACGCGTGCATGCTGTCTTACTTTGGGTTCCACTGGCCGCACTCCGCGCTCATGATCGAACAGGTGGGAGAGATGGGGAAGTCTGGGAGAGGAAGGGGGGTTCATGTGCATGTGCGCGTGCGTGTGCATGCCCATGCCCATGCCCATGTCTATGCCCATGTCCATGCCCATGTCCATGCCCACGCCCATGCCCATGCCCATGTCCATGCCCATGCATGCCCATGCCTTTGTGCATGTGCCCTGCCTGACTGCATTTTCACCATCCCTCTGCGCCCATCCCCATGCGCCCATCCCCATGCGCCCATCCCCGTGCGCCCATCCCCGTGCGCCCATCCCCATGCGCCCATCCCCGTGCGCCTATCCCCGTGCGCCCATCCCCGTGCGCCCATCCCCGTGCGCCCATCCCCGTGCGCCCATCCCCATGCGCCCATCCCCGTGCGCCCATCCCCGTGCGCCCATCCCCGTGCGCCCATCCCCGTGCGCCCATCCCCGTGCGCCCATCCCCGTGCGCCCATCCCCGTGCGCCCATCCGTGCAGGTATTCAGAGGGGCGGGCTGCAACTGAGGGACACCGTCAACGCCGTCATTCGGTGAGTGCTGTGTTGTGTTTGACTTCTAAATGATTCTTAGGCGCCTCAAGAGTTGGCACTTGAGTGCTGTCAGCGCTGTAAGCGCTGACATCTGGTGAGTGCCGTCAGTCGCTGTAAGCGCTGTCATCCGGTGAGTGGTGCGCTGCTGCCCTGCCAACGGCCCACCAAACATCCAGTGAGCCTGCCTGCCCAAGTGAGCATCATTCTGGTATGATCAACAAAAGCGTGTCGTATAGTCTAGGGTGCTGTGCTGCTTGCTTCCAACGCTGCTTGCTTTCAACGCTGCTTGCTTTCAACGCTGCTTGCTTTCAACTCTGGCATCCAGTCCGTGAACCCTCCTTGTCCTCCCCACACCCCCACCCTTCTCCTCTCCCCCCCTCTCACCCCCTTCCCCTCCCCGTGCAGCCAGCGCCGGTTCAACGAGGCCATAACGTGTCCGCGCTCGCAGCAGTGGTTCTTCTCTCCTACTCTCTCTACCCACCCTTTTCCCCCGCCACAACACCCTCCCACCCATCTCTCTCCCCCCCCCCCCCCCCCCCCCCCTCCCCCCATGCAGCCAGCGCCGGTTCAATGAGGCCATCATGTGTTTGCGTCCGCAGCGGCAGTCCTCATCTCCTCTCATTTCCTCCTTGTTCCGCCCTCTCTCCCGCCTCTCCCACCCTCTCCCCCCCTCTCCCGCCCTCTCCTCCCCTCTCCCCCCCTCTTCCCCCTCTCCCCCCATCTCCCCCCCTTTCCCCCCCCTCTTCCCCTCTCTTCCCCCCACGCAGGCAGAGGCGGTTCAACGAGGCAATAACGTGTCTGCGCCCGCAGCAGCGCTTCTCCCAGCTGCTGGAAGAAATGAAGGTCCTCGGCTGTGGCCCCCGCCTGGGCGGAGCAGGGGGGGGAGGAGTGGAGCCAGGGGGAGCGGGACAGGGAGAGGAAGGCCACGAGGGGGCATTTGAAAGGGAGAACGGACAGGGAGGCTGAGCGCAGTGAAGCAGTGGGAGAGTGGGGTCCGCCCAGGCTCAAAGAGCACCAGAGACCCGCACCCACTCCCTGAGGGTGGCAACTTCACCGCCCACTCCCCCTCTCACTCCCTCTTCCAATTCCCCACTTCATCTCCCTCTCATTCCCCTCTCCCCCCTCACTCCCCCTCTCACTCCCCCTCTTGCTCTCCCTCTCACTCTCCCTCTCATGCCTGCTCGCCCTCCCGCCCTCGCCGCTCAAGACGCTGTGGTTGCCCTCCACTCGCATCTCTTGTGCACACCGTACCGCCGCACGCTAGACCAGACCAACTGATCTGAATGCTACATTTCTAGACATGGGCTATTCTTATAGGGTGTATTTCACTATCAATGAAGAATACTTAGTTGAAAAACATCCCATACACTAAAGAACTAAACTATATATCTTCTGAAATGACAGTGATGATACATATATTACATTTCTATTTATATCCTGGCAGTGAAATGAGCTGTCAGCACTGATGCAGCCCAGGCCTACAACAAGGGCAAAACATGACCACCTGTGCCACACTGCTATGCGACTCGCCTTGCATGCCAGCATGCACAGGTCCCACTGTTCCACACGCAACCAATTAGGAGAGGGGAAGCCAACATTGTGCATAAAAAATTACTCTGCATAAAAAATTACTCTACAACGAAAAAAAATTACAAGAACCTAGCAGGGTCAAAGGGTCTAAGGTCCACACAGCTAGCCCTGCCATCCACAGCCAGCTCTGCTACAGCCAGGCCTGTAGCAGGGGCGTTCAGAATGCCCCAGCAGCTGTGCCCCGTTGCTACGTACGCCCCTTGCATCCCTGGCACAGCGCCTATTACAGGCACATTATCCTGGGAGCATGGCAGGAAACACGCCTGCTCCTTCACTATAGTCACATCTGATAGTGCCGACGACACTGTGGCTCCAACTCGTTTTAAGAACTCTGGGACGCCTGGGGTGGTGGTGATTTCCTCAGGATTATCCGGAAGGTAATTATCCCCTTCTGTGACGGAACAGAGGTAAACTTCCCCCGATGGCCGGGGGTAAATTTCTGGGTCTGCATGCCGCCCGTCCTTTGTCCTGTACTGCAGGAAGAGCATATGGTTGGTCACAGCATCGGGATTCTGGTTCGGCCGGACCACGACACTGTTCGCCTTCAGCCCTGTAATCTGGCCCAGCCGTGCTATGAGACGATTCTTGCCGGACCAAGGACCCAGTGCAAACAGCACAATATCAGCTGGCACTGTAGCACCATCTACAATCACACCAGTGACTTTAGAGGAAGCAGCAGCATCCCCCACTGGCGCCACAGCAACCTCTTGAACCTCCCCCAGTTGTACCTCCACCCCATGCCTCTCCCCAGCCACTCTAAGTAGAGTCTCTGTGAACAGTTGTGGGTGAACCTGGGCAGTTGTGACTGGCGATCCCATCGTTTGGACTCCCCGCACTGGCCCGTCTATCCATCCAGGCAGCGTGGAGTTCTTTGTTCGCTGCCCGCCAGACGATTTTTTGGGCTCGGCGACCTGGAGGCTGAGCGTGTGCACCTTGCGGTAACCGTAACAGTCACCGAACTGCTGTGCTAGCTGCTCGTGAAGACGATAGCTCAGCTGGTAGGGAAAAGGGAGGGGAAAGGATTGGAGAAGGGAGCAAAATGGGAATAGACTTAACATACTGGCTTTTGCTGGCTTTTGAACAACGTATGTGAAGAAATACTCACTGAATTTTATACGTTGTGTTAGTGGCTCTTGAATTCTCAATTGTGACTTAATATCGTTACTTGGCTCTCACCTGTGCGAGCTTCCCAGTAGGGCCGGAGCACCAATCCAATGCAAGGAACCCACCCGCCTTTCCAGAAGCAGCGCATGCCACGTGGCACTTCTCGACGACCGTTACTTTGACCCCCTTCTCCGCTAGGTAAAACGCAGTGCACGCGCCGATAACGCCTCCCCCGCATACCACCGCGTGGAGCGGCTTAGACGCCGCTTCTTCCGCGGCAACTGACTCCATATCCGGCGCCGATGCTCTTACTTTCAGACGCGAACTTCGGGACTGCGTTACGTGGCTAGGATTTTTTAAATTTGTCCTGCGAAACAGATACGGAGCAGCGAGAGCGAGAGAACTACGACGCGACGAGAGTAGTCGGGTTTGGCCCAAATACGCCGGAGCAGGGAGCCATGTTACAGGCAGCAAAGCTGACATGCTCAGTGCGAATCGCGGTGGTTGCTTCTAGCAGAGATGCAGCTGCTGTGTGAAGCGCGTTTGGTGACAGACCAATGCATACTCGTTTGAAAGAGACAATGTGTGGATGCTGAATGGCTCATTATTCTTGCTGTACCCTACAAATTATGAAGAACAGATTTAGTGCAGTTTTGATTCTCTGCACGGAAAATGATTATCGCGAGTCACCTTTGTAGCGAGTGGATTCTCATGAGTGGATAACGATGTGCGCGCGAGGGACGCTGAGCCACACGTACAACAGTTTCCCGCTCACCGCCAGCTCATCTGTTGATTCTGCAGTTTCTGCCCAACGGAACTCCCGAGGAACTGTTTTCTGTTGAAACTTCGAGAATATGACTTCTGAATGGAGTCAAAGGTTCATACGCACCCATTCTGGCAAAGGCAGAACAGTACTTCCTGCACCACTCTTCCAATACATACCATTTTTTGGTTGAGTGTGACGAACCAAATGTCATCAGAGTTGCATGCTTGAATGCGGCCGCATTGCAGCAGCAGGTCCCAACCCCCCACAACCCAACACATGCAAGCAGCAACCTTCGCAATGGTCCTTCTCGTTTGTCTCTAGGCCGTTGTCATTGTTGGAATCATTGTCATTGTAGGGCCTTGGTTAGTTGGGCTGACCAGAGCTCTCCGCCCTTCGCGCTTCAATCCTGTGTAAGACAATGCTGAGCAGTCGTACGGCGGCAGCAACCTCCATGTTGTCGCTCTGCGCTCCGCCTCCGGCGGCCTCGCTGAGCAGAACGCGGAGCAATGTCGTAGCGGAGACAGCTTCTGGCGGAGTAAAGACGTTAAACCGGGTTTCCGTTTCTCCATGGATTTCAACAAGGTCGAGCAGCCATGGTCGGCGGTGCGTAGCCATGGCAGCGCAATCTGATGAGAACCAACCCCCTTCGTTCTTCGACATTATCGAAATCAAAGGTATGATTGTTTTCACGTATTGCTTCATTTTGTTCTTGATGCATTCTCTTTTTATCACGCGAGATAGATGTTTGCAACTTCCTGTTTGTCAGTAGGACTTCTGTTTTTTAAGCTTTTAAAAATAGACCTTTTTTTTGTTAACGACTTACATTTTCTAAAAAAAACTCACGATAGAACATTCGTGCCTCCCTGTGTACATTTCAACTCTAATTTGGAGCAGAGCTTCCTGACGGTACCGTTCTCTACTCCTTCGGCGATGTCGACACCTCGGCGCCCCCAAAGATTGATCCAACGCCAGAGCCTACACCTGAGGTCTCTGCCGAACCAACACCCACACAGGAAACCGAACCCACCCCTGAACCTGCCTCAGAGCCCGCTCCCGAACAAGCTGCAGAGCCCGAACCTCAACCAGAGCCCGAGCCTGTTCCAGAGCCGGAACCTGAACCCGAGCCAGTGCCTGCGCCAGAGCCAGTAGCCGAGACAGCCGCACCGGCTGAGCCCGAAGCTCCAGCTGAGGTTGCGGAGATTGCTCCAGCAGGAGTGGAAGAAGCGGAGGCAGAAGCAGCAACGGCTACTGAAGCGTTGCAAGAAGAGGTGAGCGCCGATCCGGTAGTAGTCGCTGCAGCAGCAGACAACGCATTAGCCGATATTCCCAAAGAGGAAGAGCCCGCAACAGTCGAGGCAGAGCCCGCTGCAGTCGAGGCAGAGCCTTCAGCAGTCGAGGCAGATCCTGCAGCAGTCGAGGCAGAGGCAGCAGTCGTAGCGGAGTCGGCACCAGCCGCTGAGATAGAGCCAGCAGTTGCAGCGGTGGCAGCAGCGCCTGTAACGGAGGAGACGGTAGTGGAGCCTGTGGCAGCAGTAGCAGTAGCAGCAGCAGAACCAGCGGCAGCGGTAGGAGGTGCCGCTACGCGTCAGCGCCCCATGGGGTTCGCGAAGCGGTCCCCCGTGGCCAATGCACGGCGCAAGCAGAGCTCTAAGCGGAGCGCGGTGGCGGGAGCGATGGCGGAAGTAGCATCTGCGGTTCACGAGGACGAGAGGGCAGCTGTGGTTACTGCAGCAGGTGAGGCCTCTGCTGAGAGTGCTGCCTCTGCTGACCATGCGTCTGCCACCACTGCTGCTCCTGCTGTCGCTGTTGCGATCCCCGAGCGGCCGCCCACCAGATTTGTGAAGCGGAGCCCGCTCAAGGATGCGATGGCGAGGAAACTGGAGGCAGCGGCCGCAGCGGGCGAGCCCAGCGACGATGAATCGGTGAGTTGCTTTTGTCATTGTTGCGGGCGGGAAAGACGAAGGGAACGCAGATAACATTTGCCTTTCCACATAACCGCGCGTGGAAGAGTGCAGGCTTTTGCCAGTTTGTGAGCTGGTTTTTGTGCTGAAAAGCCCAAAACCCATCCCGTAATGAACCCATTGCGAAATTAAACTCCTAGACCAGCTCCACATCACTTTTGTGAGCTCGCTGGACACGGCTCTGTCTTCATCCATTTTTTCATGGGAAATTTGTTTGCCTTGTGTAACCATGTCTTTAACTAGCGTGGCCTCTTGTTGCCCCCATTCCATCCCTCCTTCCATACCACCCTGTCCATAATTTTGCAAGTCAGCTTCGTCATCAGCACCGTAAACTTTAACCCTCACCATTGATCCTGATCTTGTTGCCTGATGTTCAGTTCTCCCTCCCCCCTCTCCCCTCATGTTCCATTGTTGGCCAAACACTCAATCAATCTCCCTCTCTGTCTGAACAGGAGCTTGTCGAAGCAGCCACGCGATGGCGTTCGTCACTTCCTCCCCGGCTGCCTTCTAAGTTCAAGCGCCAATTCCCAAGGTTCCAGTCCAGACCGCGCCCAGGCACCCACTTGACAGAAGTCGTTCTGAACCTGTCTGGTTCTGCTGCTGCTCAGGAGAAACAGCTGGAACCTGCTCCTGTGTCAGATGCATCAGTCAGTGCTGCTGAAGAAGTAGCGGTGACCCAAGAAGAAGATGTAGGAGATATCGAGGCGGTGGTGGAAGCAGCGCCGAGTGTGAATGGGGTGAAGAGGCGAGATGCGCTTGAGGCGATGACGGCCCAGGATTTGAAATCGTTGCTCAAGGAAAGGAAAGTGCGGGGGTATTCGAGGATGCGCAAGGCTGAGCTAGTGGAGTTCATCCTCGATATGGAGGAGATTAACTAGCTGGTCTGAAACGACAATTGTGTTATTTAGTGTGTGGTATGTTAGGACTGAAATGAGGTCTTTTTGTGTGTCAGACCTTGAGTGCACAGCTATTTTCCAAGTATGCTGATTTCTTTGTAGAAAATAAGGGTTGGAAGTAGGATGGTGTACATGCTAATTTCATAAAAAATGTTGCCACTGTAGTATCTGACCTGCGAACGTCCTTCTATTGAAAGTTTCGAGCATATCTCGGCAGTCCCGAAGGCTCCCTGTCGTATTGTCGTCACGTCCGATTCACAACCCATTCACCACTCCTGATTCACTTGCACTTTATGGCGCTGGGAGGAGGAGGTCCCTGATATAGGCAGTAGAGGCCGCTTCGGGTGACATTGCCATGACCTTTGTCGCTCGGATAGGTGCAGGTCGCGTCAACAGGCGACTCACAGTGGGCTCGCTTCGTGTCAACGCCGTTGTCGACCTGGCCCATTAACGGCGGCGATTTTCATATATTTTCGCTTCCCCATTCTCTGCTCCCCTAGAAGACTGGACTTTCCATCTCCAGGGCATCAGGATAGGCGAATCGTGCGATAAACTTCGAGCGACTCTAGCCAGGATGGATTCTCAAGCACCGCGAATCGCTAAAGGATCACGTCGCGGATCTGGATCCCACGTGTCTGCGCCAGTCCGCACGAGGATTGTTGTGTCCACCGTACTATTCTCCATCTTCGTTTGCGTCGAGAGGACGATGGCTCAACTGCCAGAATCCAGTGGCAGTCAGACGTGCGAACTGACGGATTACGTCAGAGCTTCTGGACCCTGTCAAGGTAATCTGCGAGTTGAGAAACAGAGTGTCGCAGAACTTTGGATTGTATTGAACTGCTTTCGGCGTAGTAGGTGTCTCGTGGTAACCTGGTCTCAACCGTGACAAGGTAATTTTGCTTTGCCCAAGTTCATTATGGTCTTGTCCAAGGTATCCGTTATTAGTTTTTACTGGTGGTAAGACTGCCTTACGCCATTCGCGACAAAGCAGCACGCACAATGCAGCATCATGAATGATAAAGGCTTGCATCGTTTAGAAAGCTCAAGCAAATGGTTGCCATGAGAATCTGAGATCGTTCCGTATCGTGCACCAGGGCATAAGAGCGACACCTTTCGAGACATCCTAAGATCTACTACGATGTCTTGACGACTGGTGTGGTGTGATGTGGTGTTGCGTGGTGCGGTGTGGCAGATGGAAAGAGGGAGATTAACTTTGAGAAGGCGAATCGCAACTGCACCGACCCCTTCCAGTTTGAAAACATCCGCAAGGAGCCCTGCGGTCAGTCAGTTCCCTGTCCATCCCTTTCCTCCTCCTTTCCGCATTTTCCTGTTCACTGCTAGACTAGATGGCCCACCCGTTCCAGTTTGAAAACATCCGCAAGGAGCCCTGCGGTCAGCTCCCTCTCCATCCTTTCCGTCTTCCTTTCCGCTACTCCCTGTGTTGCTGCTAGACTAGTCGTCTGTACTCCCTGCTGTTTACGATGCGGTTTTCTGCAGCTTAAATTTGTGGGTTGGTTTCTTTCAAGGAACCAGCATGTGAAAATCCAAATTTGTAGATTCAGCACGCTGACTTCTCAGACTGTCTCGTTCCTGGGAATCCCTCCCGTCCCCCGGTGTGCTTGCAGCGTGTACGCCTTCTGACTATGCGAAGGAGTACTCGAAAGGGGATGATGGCAAATGCTACTTGCAGTATCGCCCAAGCAGTAAGTGCTCTAGCTCTTTCAAATGTACTGTTTCAATTGTTAGACATTAGGATCTCCTCTGGATGTAGCAACTCATCCATAGGTACCTCACTGCTTTCCCCCGCACTGCATCCCCCCCTCACTGCTTTCCCCCAACTGCATCCCCCCCTCACTGTATTTCCCCCTCGCTGGTTTCACTCTCACTTCTCCCCTCACTTGTTTCCCCTCACTGCTTCTCCCCCCTTTCCCCCCTCCCTGCTTCCCTCCGCTTCCCCCCCACACTGCAACGATAGACTGCCAGGGAGGGCAAGAGTCGAAGCGAATCCTGGTGGACCTTCTGTTCTGTGGTAAGCAGCAGTGTAGCACACAGCACGCTCCAGGCAGCACGCAGCACGCAGCACTCACCCGGCACTGCAGTCCGCACTCTGACCCTACTTGTATCCAGGGCCTGCCTTTGCCGTCAAGCAGCTCCGTTGTCCTCAGTGTCGCAGCAGCCTTCTCCAACCTTTCGTTCTTGGTGCCCCGACTCCCGTGCCCACGCCTGTCACTCTCATCAGACCCAAAGCCCGTCCTTCAGGTCTGCTGCACTTCACTGCATGGAGACCAACGTGGGAAGGAGGAGTATGAACCTCACCTGTGGCGAAATCCTTGAGACCCACTTACCACCCTTCCCATCCCTGTGCCTGTGCCTGTGCCTGTGCCTGTGCCTGTGTCCATACCCATACCCATGCCCATGGGCAGAGTTGAAGCCTGTCCCATGCACAGAGGCGAACGTGAAGAGCATGTACCTCACGTGCGACTACATCCGTGACCCAGCCACCAATCAGCAGCTCTCCAAGACTCGCATGATCCAGGTGCGTCCCTCTACTGCCGTTCATCTCACTTAGTTGACACAGCCAGAGGCTCGACACAGCTCTTTAGTGGTTGACATATGTAGAAACCCCACTGGAGAGTTGGCAGTGGCATGGCACGCACACATGGGATTGGACTACATTCGTGACCCACCCAGCCACCAATCAGCAGTCAGGTGGTGTATAGCTCTGGCAGCCAGTGCAATCCCTGCAGCACATGACCTGTAGACTCCTCAAATCATAACATGCTCCATGAGCCTCATATCCCTACTCTCACCACCCCATATCCTCCTCCTTACCTCCCTATATCCTCGTCCCGCATCACCCCATATTTCCTGCCCCGACATCCCATATCCTTCCCTGCCCACCATCAGGCAGTGTATTACTTTGACAACCAGTGCAACCCTGCTGTTTGTGATGTGTAGAATCTTCAAAAACCTTTTGTTAACTTCCTATCCTCTCCCCCGCCATCCCATATCCTCCCCTCCCCACCATCAGGTGGTGTAGTACTTTGACAAACCAGTGCAACCCTGCAGCATGTAGTGTGCACGCTCGTCAAAGCTCATCTCATGAATCCCATAATATCGTCCTCCCCTCCCCACCATCAGGTGGTGTACTATTTCGACAATCAGTGCAACCCTGCTGCTCGTGGCTCCCTTGCCCTCCCTCCCAGCGACTACATTCCTTGCGGTGAGGCATGCTTTCACACATGCATGCTTGCACACATACGTGCATGCGCCCATGCCTGCTTCACACATGCCTGCTTGCACACATGCGTGCTTGCGCCCAAGCCTGCTTGCACACATACATGCATGCATAAATGCTGGCATACACACTAAACGTACATTTTTTCACTCCTGTGTGGATGCGTTGTTTTCCCACATGCGTGCCCATCCATTTGTGTGCCTTGCTGTTTCCGTGCGTTCACCTATGGCTGCAAGCATATGTGTGTGTGCCTTGCTGTGTGTGTGCGTCTCTGACTGACTGAATGCATGTGTGTGCAGACACGCGGTGTGGCCCGGGGATGTTTCTCAAAGGCAACAACTGTCACAAGTGCCCGCAAGGTATACTCGTGTCTGTGGAAACGGAGGAAAGGGGAGGGGCGGGAATGGGGGAGAGGGTTGGTCGTAACTCTCTTACTGTTGAAATCATTTGAGAGGTCCCTTACTGCGGCCCTGTTGATATATTCAGGAACTTCTTTGTGACAAAGATTCAAGGGTACAAATGCCTTTTGCCTTCACTTTGGCATCATTACGCATCTGCTTTCTATCCTCTGCTGTCTATCGCATGCAGGCTACTATAGCATGGGAGGCGGGTTCCGTTATGATGCCTTCAAGGACCTCGACCCCAAGGTCTTCCAGGTGGGAGCTGCGCTTGATTAACACCTGAACCCAGGGTGTTGTGTTGCAGGTGGGTTCTGTGCTGTGCTTTATGAATGCCTGAACTTAAGGTCTTTGAAAGGTCTTATGATGTCTTCAAGGACCTCGACCTCAAGGTTTTCCAGGTGGGAGCCATGCTTGATAAACAGTATTCATAAAGCACGATGCTTTGTTAACAACCCAGGGTGTTGTGTTGCAGGTGGATGCTGTGCTTTATAATGCTTGAACTTAAGGTCCTCGAAGTGTTGTGCTTTAGGGAATGCCTGACTTCAAGCTGGGGTTCTGCAGGCAACCCCTGCAGCATTTTTGCGCATGTTATCTTCAAGTAACTCCCAAACTCAAAATGTTGCCTTCCGGCCCAACTTCCTCTCACCCTTTCCATCATTCACCCATTGCCATGCAGACAGAGTGCTCGTTCAGCAACAACACGGGCACGTTCCCGTGTGAGGGGTGGTATGCGGAGGAGGGGCAGCATGTGTGCCCCAGCGTCCCTGCTTCTTCTCTCATTTCCCTCCGCTCCGCCGCCAATTCCTGCCGCCCTCCCCCTGGTTTCACCCATTGCCATGCAGACAGAGTGCTCGTTCAGCAACAACACGGGCACGTTCCCCTGTGAGGGGTGGTATGCGGAGGAGGGGCAGCTGAAAGTGGGCTCCTACGACCCTGCCAACTACTGGCTCGAGGTGTGCAGTGCGGTGCGGTGCTTGTGTGTGGAATGGAGTATAATGGAATTTCGCTGGTGCCTGCCTGGTGAATTTTGTTTACTGGGTGATGATGAGTGCAGGAGAATGGGTGGTGTTTGCGTGACCCAGCAGTCCATTCATTTGACTGCTACATGTCCGTGACACATTGGAGTGTGCTCATGTGCCCGTGTGCCCGTTTGCACGTGCTGATGTTTCTGCATGTGTTTTTTTCCATTCGTGATCTGATTAACACACGTGCAGTTACTCCTTTTCCACAGGAAAACATCTTTCCTGACTAACTGATGCCACCATCCATGCACTGCAGTCACTATCCATCGATTTCATTGCCGTGTGAACAGGAGGAGTGTGCATACTTCACCAGCATGACATGCCACAGCAACCTGCAGTCCTCGCTTTCTGAGGGCGCCTCAAAAAGCTCTCTCACTGCAACCGTTACTCATCTCTGTTGTTGTGGCCGTGTGAGCAGGAGGAGTGTGCGTACTTCACCAACATGACGTGCCACAACAACCTGCAGTCCTCGCTCAAGCTGCCACTCACTCTCGTCAGGGACGGGTGAGCCAAATTCAACTACATTTAGACCACATCCTCCTGCACTCCCTCCTCCTGCACTCCCTCCCCGTCCTTCTCACTTAACAGGGAAGGCATAGTTTTCAAACTCGCCCTTTGAGTCCTTGTCGCCTTTCACCCCACCCACTTTTCCTCCTCCTTCCCTGCCCATCCATCACCACCAGGACCAGGTACGTCACATTCCGCTTCACAGTGAGCTCAGAGCGGTGAGAATTCCAGTCGACTCAACAGCCCTGTTTCTCTTCCTTTCCTCCTCCCTCTCCGCCCATACACCCCACCCACCACCAGGTATGTCACATTCCGCTTCACAGTGAGCTCGGAGCGGCAGCGGGATGGACTGGTGTTCTATATCGACGACCTTAACACCCCCGCCATGCTGCTGGCTTACAACCAGGTGAGTGCTGCATCAGGTGAGTGCTGCATCAGGTGAGTGCTGCATCAGGTGAGTGTTGCACCAGGTGAGTGTTGCACCAGGTGAGTGTTGCACCAGGTGAGTGTTGCACCAGGTGAGTGTTGCACCAGGTGAGTGTTGCATCAGGTGAGTGTTGCATCAGGTGAGTGTTGCATCAGGTGAGTGTTGCACCAGGTGAGTGCTGCACCAGGTGAGTGCTGCACCAGGTGCTGCTTTGTCAGCACTCTTGTGTGTAAGCTGCACCCTTATCAGAGTTACGTCCTTCCCTTCTCAACTTTCCGGTTTTCAACCCTCCCGTGCCCTAAAACTCCCTTGGTCCCTCTCCCTTTGCAGTTCGATCCTAAGGAGGTCCGCTTCCCCCTGGCAGCAGGAAGGCACACGCTCGTGTGGGCGTATGTCAAGGACTCGTCGTTCACACAAGGCAGGGACTCTGCCGCCCTACAGGTGTGCCTTTTGCCAGTCTGGTAACCATTTCGTGTTTTGAGTCAACTCAAAAACACAACTCGCTGTGGGCAGGCAGGCACACGCTCGTGTGGGCGTATGTCAAGGACTCGTCATTCATACAGGGCAGGGACTCTGTCGCCCTACAGGTGGTGTGTGGCTTTTGTCGGTCTGGTAGCCAGCTTTTGTTTTTGCGGCGACCAAAACACAACTGGCAGCAGGGAGGCACACACACATGCTCATGTGAATCTGATGTCAAAGGCTCCTCATTCACGCAGGGCAGGGACTCTGTCGCCCTACAGGTGTAGGGTTTGCAACTCCAGCTCTGGTCCTTGGCTCACCCACCATGGTCGTATGTGTTGCTGTAGAGTTGAAAATAATTGCTTCTATGTTTTCTGCCCGTCCTCCTCCACACTTTTAGTTTCTACACCATGTCTAAACCTTCTGAATTTGAAGCGTTTAAAGTTTCTAAACTGTGAACGCACTTTCTGTGTGCCTCTCTTTCCATCTGCCTCTTTATCTCTGCATGCCTCCCTTTCACATCTAACCTGCAGTTTCTGGAGGTGGACGGCATTGCATTCACCGACTCAGCCTGCCTCAAATGCCCTGCCGGCTTCTTCAGGTCTTGTCTGCTTCTCCACTCCACTCGCTTTCTGAGCTGCTGCATGCGCATGGTCCCGCTGCTGCTGCTGCATTATCAGTGTGCTCACCTCATGAATCACACTGCTTCTTGTTGCTGTGTTTTTTTCTCCTGAGCGGCTGCTTGGACAATCCTCATGTGCCTTTGTGTGCGTGTGGTTGTGTTTCTGCGTGCGTGCGTTTTTTGTGTGTGGGAGGGGGGAAGAGAGGGGTGTGGGTGGGTGAGTGAGTGTGTGTTTGCGAGTGGGTACGCACACCTGTGTGTGTGGGATTGTGCTTCCCCTCACCACACTCCTCTCATCATCACATGCTCCCATGCTCCTCATGATGTCATCCTCTCATCAGTGGGGAGCAAGCCACCAACTGCACAGCATGCCCTCCCGACCACATCTCAGCGTACGCTCACCTCCCTCCCTCTCCCATCTTCTCCTTTTCTCCTCGATCCTTTCTCCTCTCTTCCCCCCCTGTCCCCTCTCTGTCTCCTCTCTCCCCTCTCTCCTCTCTGTTCACTCTCCTCTTTTTCCTCTCTCTCCCCTCGTCCCTATCTCCTATCTCTCTTAGTTCTCTTCTTTCTCCTCCTTCCCTCCTAATCGCACACACCACGTGGTGTGTGTCTTTACAAAAGGAACGGCCCTTATGCCCACCATGTTTACAACTTCCCTTTCCACAGCCGTCCCACTGCTGCTTATGACTCCCTCACCCCCTACTCTATTGTCTCGCTCCCTTGCTTCTTATGCCTTTCTCCCTTGCTTCTTAATGCCTTGCTGCAATTTGCGCACCGTGCTCGCACACGCTCTCCACACATTTCCAAAAACCTTCCTGTCTCCCCACGCCTCTTTTCCCTTTCCCCCATTCCCCTCTCGCGCACATGTCCTTTTCCCCTGCCACCTTCAACCAGGGAGGGGTCAGGCCAGTGCGAGGCGTGCAACAGCACCACGTTCGCCCTCGCCACACCCCGCACCCAATGCACCCCACGCCCTCGTGAGTGCACCCCACGCCCTCGTGAGTGCACCCCACCCTCACCATGCCCCACACCCAGTACACCCAGAGCTTTGTGACTATTTCCATGATTTCATCCCTGTGCAACACCTGAATACTTGAACCCCCCCACCTTCAACCCCTTGGCTGCCTCGTCACGCACGCGCACGTGAGTGCGGTCGTCGTGGATCTCACCAAGGCGTATCAGTGTCATTCACTCTCCATATCATTCACCCGTTCCCCCCCTTCCAGTGTGCAACGTGACAGTAGACGCCACGCCCACCTTCACCCCCTGCGTTGCCTCCTCGCGCACGCGCACCAGGGTGTGGTCGTGGCTCTCCCCTCAAGTCTGCCAGCCCGACCCCGCCCATGGCCTCCCTCCCAACACCACCGAGCCATGCGGTAACCGCCTCTCTTCTCACACCACTGCCTCTCCACTGAGTCTTGGCTACAGCCCGGCTCTGCACGTCTCTGTAGTGCATGGATCAGTGGTATTGGCGCTGACGCAGGGCGTGCCACTGCCTCCATGCATCTCTCTGTCTCTACCACTCATTTCTCAGCACATGCCTCTCTCCCTTTCTGTGAGATGAGACCATCGTTGAGGCACCTCAGAAATCACCTCCATGCGTTTCTCTTTCTCCCTGTCACCCCTTCCTTGCCAGGTTGGCACATATCTCTCCTCCCTCCCTCTGGCCCCGTGTGTGCAGAGCTGACGTTTGAGTCGACTCAAAAGTCGACTCTTTCTCCCTATTGCCGCTTCCCTGGCACATATCTCTCTTCCCTCCCTCTGGCCCCGTGTGTGTAGAACCCTGCCCGTCAGGGCAGTACGCAGTTGTGGATTCTGCCACTGACACTCTCACCTGCACCTTCTGCCCCACTGTACGCCCTCGCCCCACCCACTCTCTTGGCCGTCTGCCCAGCCACTCTGTGCCTTCACTCTCTGCCTTCACTCATTCTCTCTGCCATCTGCCTCTAGCCAATCCCTGCTTCGTTTGAAACTCTTGCAGCCACCCTGTATGATGCTTCTCTGGCTAACCGCCCTAACCCCCACCCACCTCCCATTGTCTTCCTCAATCTGCAACACTCGTTCCTCCCCTCACATTGCTCTCCTCCCTGCCATTCCCATGTTCCTTCCTCCCTTCCTCTTCCTTTTTCCATCCCCCTTCCCTCCCTTTTTCAGGGCACAGCGCGGAACGTCTCAGAAGCACCAACAGTACAACCACTCCCCCCTCCAGGCGCGGCTGCCCCTCCCTCTGCAGCCCCCTCAACCACATCGGACGAAACTTGCCACCCGTGCCAGCCTGGCGAGGCAGCAGTGAGGATGCTCTTGCTGGAGCACTTCCGCACCGTGGAAGAGGGGAAGCTTCCCAGCGGCTTCCAGACTGGATGCAGTGGGGAGTGTGGGTCAGGCGGGTGGCGAGTGGTGGGGGATTATCTGGACTCGGGGGCGAATAACGGCAAGACTGCCTCTGTAAGTGTGTTTGTTAGTTAAGTGCACTTGATCTTGGGTGGTGGGGGCAAATAACGGCAAAGCTGTTTCTGTAAGTGTGTTTGTTGGTTGAGTGAATTTGGTTCGCGAGAGGTGAATTTGGTCCGACAGTATCACCTACTTTGTTTCATCGTCCTCTCAACCGTGTCTTCCCTCCCCCTCGCTCTATCCCCAGCTACATCACATATCGTGTGACCATGCACCATATCGTGTGACCATGCACCATATCGTGTGACCATGCACCATATCGTGTGACCATGCACCATATCGTGTGACCATGCGCCATATCGTGTGACCATGCACCATATCGTGTGACCATGCGCCATATCGTGTGACCATGCACCATATCGTGTGACCATGCGCCATAACATGGCGCGTTCCCATTCTCTCCATCCTCCTTCCCTCTCTCCTCTCCCTGCAGGTGTGGCTGGCACTCACGGTGAATCTCACCATCCCCGGCTACATCACATACGACTTTGCTTGTCTATGTGCCACCCAAGCTCACCCCTCCCCACCACTCTCCCTTGTCTCTGCAGGTGTGGCTAGCATTGGCTGTGAATCTCACCATCCCCGGCTACATGACATATGACTTTGCTTGTCCATGTGCCAAACCATACCACCTCCTGATTCTCATCTCCCTTGTTTCCCCCTCCCTGCAGGTGTGGCTGGCCCGCTCACAGTGAATCTCACCATCCCCGGCTACATCACATACGACTTTGACGTCGACATCCCTCCTGGGTACCTGTTGTTCATGAGTCCAACCACACTTGCCAAGCATTCTCATCATCTACTCCTTGTATTGCCTACCACCTTCTCCCGTCTCCCCGCAGGTGTGGCTGGCACTCACAGTGAATCTCACCATCCCTGGCTACATCACATACGACTTTGACGTGGACATCCCTCCTGGCGACCTGCAGCGCGGACTCTTCTTCTACGTGGACGACAACCTGCTCGAGAACATCGAGGTGTGATATGCGGTGCTGTGAGGTAGTGAGCGTCAGGCGATGTTGAGCAGTGCTGTGTGGTATTCAGGTGGGTGATGTCAACGATAAGGTGACCTGCAGCGCGGCCTCTTCCATGTGGACGATAATCTGCTGGAGAATACCGAGGTATGGTGGGCATGTGTTGCGGGACAATGAGCATGTGCTGAGAAGGTGAGGTTGGTGGGATTTCTGAGAAGGTTATCGCAACTTTACCTTTTCTCTTACATGAATGACAACCTGATCGCAAACCTCTCTGCTCTTGTCTCCTTTTTCTCTCACCCACTCCTCTCTCCATCTTCCCCTCCCACCTTCCCTCAGGACGGGGGCAGCATGGGCGTGAGCGTGCCAGTGGGTCGCAGCAGCAGCCAGCATTGGCCGCTGGCAGCAGGCAGCCACCGCATCATGTGGGTGTGGGTCACCCTCAACGCCGATCGCACCTCCGTCGATCGCTCCTCTGCCATCCTGCACAGCGTGCGCGTGTGGGGGGCGGCACAGGGGGGCGCGCCCGGGTGTGTGCGCATCCCTGCAGGCGCGCAGAAGGGGCAGAGCGGGGACGCGTGGGAGGAGTGTCCTGCTGGGTATTACAGTGAGGGCGGGGAAGGGCTGTGCCAGAAGTGCCCTGCCAACACCTTCAACCCGAAACCTGCGGTTAGTTTTACTCTTTGGCTCCTTAAGCAAAGGGCAGAGTGAGGATTGGTGGGAGGAATGCGCTGCTGCTGGGTTTTACAGTGAGGGCGGGGAAGGGCTGGGTGAGAAGTGCCCTTCGCCCTCACTGCCAACACCTTCAACCTGAAGCGAGCAGTGAGTGCAGTTGTGTTCTCAGATTCCCCCTTTTTTTCATCCGTATTGAGTGCACCATGATGGCGCTAGCCAGTCCCTCCTTCCCCCGTTCTCCCCTATTGTCTCAGGGCAACCGCTCTGCCTGCCAGCCGTGTTGTTCACCAGGGACATCTTCGCTGGAAGGCAGTGCGGAGTGCAGCATTGCGGACGTCACATCCCTTCTCCCAACCCCAGTGCTCCAATGGAGTCTCTCACCCTGCCTCTTCTCTCCCCTTCCCCATTCCCACCCTGTCCTCGTCACCTGCAAACATTTCAGGGCAACCGCACAGCCTGCCAGCCGTGCGGCCTGGGAACATCTTTCGCATAGGGGACGTCACGTCGCCCTCCTCTTTCTGCACCTTCATTGTTCGCTCCTTCAACTCCACCAACACGCTCCTCTACGACCTCTCACCTCCCTCTCAGTCAACCTTTTTTGCATCTCGCCCTTTGCTCTACCTTCCCCTGCCACCATCTCAGGGCAACCGCACTGCTTGCCAGCCGTGCGGCCTGGGCACATCCTCTCTGGAGGGCAGTGCGGAGTGCGCCATAGGGGACATCACCTCGCCCTCCTCCTTCTGCACCTTCATCGTCCGCTCCTTCAACAGTACAGACACGCTCCTTTACGACCTCTCCCCCCTCGCGCACCAGAACCTGGGCCGCCTCGTGGGGCCCATATACGAAGGCCCATCCTTTGTAGACCTGCAGAAGGGTCCTAAGTACTATGTGTCGGTGTGTGCTCGCAGCAACAGTGATAACGCTGTGTATCGCCCTGTCGCTTCCTCTGCTGCTGCTGGGGGTGCTGGTGTTGGGGGTGGTGCGGCTGGGGGTGGTGGTGTGTGGAGTGGTGATAGTGGTGGTGGGAAGGGGGGCAGGGGCGGCAAGGGAGAGAGAGCGAACACGAAGTACCCGTGCATCATGTACACTGGGAAGCCCCTCAACAACACTTATGTGTGCCGGGTGAGTGCTTCTTGAGGCGTCTCAAGCGTTTGTTGGTGGCAAGGTGGTGAGCAGGCGCGCAAACGTGACTTGTTCCAACACGACGTATCCGTGTATCATGTACAGTGGGAAGCCTCTCAACAACACTTATGTGTGCCGGGTGAGTGCCCTGGTTCCAAGCCAAACCGCCCTATCGATATCCAGACGCTCCTCGCCTTGACTCTTGCATGTTTGTTTGCTTTTGACTGCTGATTTTGATTACACTTAAGTATCATTTCCTTCCCTCTCACCTTCGTTCTCCTCGTCTCCCCTCCATCACCCCGTTTTCTCCCTCCCCGCCCCCCCTCCTAGTCTGAATGAGCAGAGCACAGCCACATCCTGTCCACTTCCCTTCACATCCTTTCTCCTCCCTCCCTAACCCCCGCCTCCCCTCCCGCTCCCCATCAGATCAACCCGAATCTGAATGAGCACAGCACAGCCACATCGGCCCACAGCCTGGGGGACACCGTGTCACTGGCCCCTTTGGGGAGCTTCTCCGAGCCGCAGCTGCAGCGGCGAGGGCTGGTGATGTCGTTCCACGGAGAGAGCTGCCCGATGTCCGACGCCCCCAGCACCTTCAACCTCACCTTCATCTGTGACCCCGAGGCTGGTGAGGCTTTGAGTTTAGACTGTTGCACAAGCACCTGAATGTACATGTAACTCAGCACCTTGATTGTACAGCCTTCACCAGATGTCCGACGCCCCCAGCACCTTCAATCTCACCTTCATCTGTGACCCCGAGGCTGGTGAGTGAGGCGTCTAGTTGAAGTCATAAGAGCAGTATTGCTTTGAGTTCAAAAGAGCGGCGAGGGCTGGTGCTGTCATTCAACGGGGAGAGCTGCCCAATGTCCGATGCCCGCAGCACCTTCATTTGTGACCCCGAGGCAGGTAAGACCATAAGGCTGGTGGTGAGATTCTGAGGCTGGTGGCGAGGGCTGGTGATGTCGTTTAACGGGGAGAGCTGCCCAATGTTTGATGCCCCCAGCACCTTCAACCCCAACCTCATCTGTGACCCCAGGGCTGGTACGACCATAAGGCTGGTGGGGCAATCGATAGAGCAGGAGGCGCCTGGCTCCTGCCTCTTCCAGGTGGTGTGGTACCCGGCACACCCCTCCCCACTTCTTCCTCACCTCTCTCCTCTCTCCACGCTCTCTTTCTCTCTCCGTTCCCCCCAGGCTACGGCCACCCAGAGCCATGGACGGAGGGGGGCAAGAAGGCAGCTCTGAACCCGACCCTCTCCTACCCGGCATGGGCCAATCGGTCGGGCGATGTCATCCCCGTGGGGCGCGAGGCGCCTGTCTCATGCCTGTTCCAGATGGTGTGGTACACGGCGTATGCGTGCCCGCTGTGCACTGTGCTGGATATGGATCCTGTTGCCGTTGCCAACTGCATCGACAACAAGCGCTTCACCTACAAATACAAGACGCCAAGGGTGCGTTGCTCTCTGTGTTCCTAGGGGCAGGTAAAGTGGGATCTGGTTGGGTTGGGTGGAGTTGGATGAGGGTGGAAACGGCAGGCGGTCGGACGGGGTTTGAAGGGGTTTGCGGGCGCCTGTATCGTGTCTGTTCCAGATGGTGTGGTACACGGCGTATGCCTGCCCGCTGTGCACCGTGCTTGACATGGAGCCCGTGGCCGTTGCCATTTGTATCGACAACAAGCGCTTCATCTACAAATACAAGACCCCAAGGGTATGCTGCTTGACCTACATTTACATTTACGAGTACTCCACTCATTGGGTTTCCAGGGGCAGGGGCAGGTGAAGTGGGGAGATAACCAAGAGACGGCTGTTTTCTGTGATTCAAGCCAAGGGTGGATTGTGGTTGGGTGTAGCTGGGTGCGGAGGGCTGAAAGGAGAAGTGTTCGGTTTGGTTATTGTGGAGATGTTGTCCTGAATTTGTGTTTGAGTTAAGGCGCAGGCTTGGCTCTTCATGTTGGTGATGTATGCTTGCTCAATTCTCCTGAGTACCTGTTTCCTCTAACCCCTCCAAACTGGCAGCTTTGCCAGCCAAATCCCCAGGTGCCCTTACCTCCTGATGAGTACTGCCTTCCCTGCACCAAGGACGACTACCAGAGATTTGAGGACTCTTGCACCGACGCCAACGGTGTGCACAACGTAACATACATCTGGAAGCTCCCGAAGACTTGTAACGAGGACCTTTCTGGAGCGGAGAAGCTTCCGGAAGGGACACTGGCGGGGATTTGTGACATGGAGGTGAAATACATCGCTTCAAGCACCTTGAGCCCCAAATACATTGCCATTTTTGCGCTTGGAGGGCTGGCAATTGTCGGCCTTGCAGTCATGACGATTATGACGTGGCTCAAGAGCCGAAAGATCTACAGGGAGTATGCGAGGCTGTGCGAGAATGCGGAGCAAGCGGAGGAGAATGATGAGATGGAGGAAATGGATGGGGGTGATGAGGACGACGAGTATGAGCATGAGGAGGCACACTTTCGTAGGCAGGGAGACGAGAGCAGTTAGTGGGGCTGAGTGTAAATGATAAAATTTGCGTAAGGTGGTCACCTTGTAAGACATCCTAAAAATATCATGACTTTTATGACGCTTAGTAAGGAAAATCCCTTTCCTTACTTCGCATCCCTGCTCAACGCGTACATCGCTGTAGCACCACAGTCAGCACCGTTACCACTCACAATCCTCGCGTCGACAATCCGCCCGCCACCTTCGCACGTCGCACCCCAACCTCACGGCTCGGCGGGTAAGCCGCGCTCCAGGCCTCCGCTTCGACACTAATTCCCAACCTCAGTCCCAGGCCCGTCGCGCGACAACCACAGTCCATTACCGTTACCACTGTAGTTTCGCTATATATTTTTCGCTCATGCCTTCGCTCATTGTACTCTTGCTTCGATAGTGCAATTCCCGTTCGTTCATTCAATTGCACTCGTAACACGCTTGAATGTATAGAATTTGTTATGAATCAACTTGCAGAGTGCGCAGTAAAACGAATAACGAAAATGGAAATTACTGAATTACTGAATGAAGAAACAATGAAGGAGGCCGAAATAGAGGAAAAGCTAGCTAGGCGGGGGGTTCGGGATGTGATGGCTCGGTGATGGTTGCGATTGGGGCGGAGGCCGGTCGGGGGTGGTTCGGTGCGACGAAATAGGCAAGACAGGTTCGTCGCGTGACCCTCGGGATGGCCTCGCTAACGAGTGCCTCAGTAAGGATTTGTAAATCCTTACAGAATTTGCAGTTTTTTCAGACAACAAATGCGCGGGAAAGCCCTCGAAACTGACGACGTGGTCGTAGTGTCAGAAGACCACAGGTCCACGTCAAACCAGCTTCAAAGCTTCGGAAGTAACCCTTCAATGTCATTGTTCGGTCGTCGAGTACGGTGTAGTACGTTTGTACACGTTAGAGAGTGGTATCCTGCAGTAGAGCCAATCCAGCCTTGAATTTGCCCGACCTTTCAACGGAACTCTCGTGTCGACGAGTTCAATAGTTGATCCTCATTGTCTTATCTGTCAGCCATAGGTCTCCCTCACGGCTGACAGTTCCGAGATTCCCCTCCGTGCCGTCGTCGGGAGAGGACCGAGTTGGTCCTTGGTCAGGAATCCGTGGTTTTTTTTACTCGTTAAGAAGTTGATGCGTGATCTTAGCGAGGATAAGCTTAGCTTGTCGAGAGTTTATTAGCAGACTCCCACGAGGTTAGGGACGTCTCTAAAGTAGCAGATTCTGACGCCAGTTCGTCCCGCCCGAAGCATCACGAATCCAACGCATACGTTATTCTTTAATTAGCAACCGTATCGTCGTACTGTCTGAGATGGACCGTCGATGGTTGACCCGAGCGCCGAGTACTCGCCGATCATGCTTGCCTGTACAGCACACTCCGGGTGTAGCGTCACTACGGCTTCTGTTACTATCGCTGTTCTCGCTCGTCCTGATTTTGTGTCCGCCGTCCGTAAGCGCACAGTCTCCGCGACAAGGATGCGATAACAGCGTGGAAATGGTACGGCGATCCCTTCCTTGCCTCATCATTGTCATCTCTGATACAATCTCCGAGTTTCCTCACAATCCTTTCACAATCCCACCATCCCCTCAACTTAGCTTGAATAATCAGCCCAATACGACTCTAGAGTCGACTGAAACTCACATCCCACCTCCTCCTCACCTCAGGTCAAGCTTGTCGTGCACGTGAAAGTCAACGCCACGATCAGCGGCGGCAGTGACCTCGAGATTCGGGTTTGATTCAACTCAAAAATCATCTCGTTTCACCATCCCCCCACCTCAGGTCAAGCTTTCCGTGCACGTGGGAGGCAACGCCACCATCAGCGGCAGCAATGACCGTCAAATCCTCGCTCTCGAAGCCAGCTTCGGCGCGGGGCTTCCGAAGACCAAGGCTGACGCGCTCTCCTTCTCCCTTGCGCAGATGCAGCCCCTGCTTGCTTGTTCCGACCCCCTGCCTCCTCTCCCTTCAGTACGTGCGCTCAGAGCCCCGTCTTTTTTCCTCGCCCTCGTTAGTCACCATGCTCCTGAAGTCAAATTTGTCGCGCAGATGCTTCTATCCTTGGCTTTTTTTCAACCTCACTCCATGTTCCGCTTCTTCACGTCTTCATGCCTCCTGTCTTTCACTTCTTTCCGTATCCTCCGCCCACCTTCACCCATCTCCCCAATGCTAGTTTCAGGGCCAGGCAGTGTTAGTGCAGCGAGGCGACTGCAGCTTCGCCTCGAAGGCCCTCCGCGTGCAGCGGCTGGGAGCAGCTGCTGCCATCGTCATCAACAGTGAAGAAGGTAACCCAGGTGGTGTGAATGTGAATGGGACTTGATGTGTTTTTTTCGTTTTTGAGGCGCCTCAAAAGGCGAGTGCAGCTTAGCCTCGAAGGCCCTCCGCGTGCAGCGGCTGCGAGCTGCTGCTGCTATCATGGTCAACAACAAACAAGGTATGGCCTGCAGGCGATTTGAATGTGAATGGGACTTGATGTACGTTTTGTACATGTGATTTGATCGTGTTTTTAACGCTTTGGGGTCATGTATTTGTGATAGTGATTGGGTGTGTTTCAGCATATGTGTCAATGCATAGAGTTAGGTAAGTTTCAGCTAAGGCCTCCTTTGTGACGGCTCAATACTTGTACGTGGGTTCCCCGCGGCAGGTATCATTGGCATGGGTTGCAACGCAACAGACTTGACTGAAGGCGTTGTGACTATACCGGTGGTCATGGTCTCCAACTCGTCAGGCCAATTCCTCCTTCATGCCCTCTCCAACGCCTCCGCCTCCCCCTCCGCCTCCGCCTCCGCCGCGCCAGTCACTGTGTCCCTGTACGCGCCTCCGCGGTCACTGCTGGACCTGGCAGAGCTGGTGCTGTGGGCGCTGGCGCTGCTGTCGCTCGTGGGCGCGTCCGCGTGGGCTGCCGCGGAGGAGAAGGCCGCGCTGGAAGGGAAGAGTGGCGCGGGGCAGTCCCTGGCGGACCAGGTACGGGGGGAGTGGGGGGGGGGGGGAACGGGGGAAGATGGGGGAGGGAAGGAGGATGTGGTGGGGGAGTAGAAGAGGTGCAGTGATTGGGTGTTGAAACGTGGGGACAAGGTTGGGGCGGGTGATGATGGTGATGGGGTTTGCTTTCATGCGAGGATGTGTGAGTGAGTGAGTGAGCCAGCTAGCAGAGCAGTCGAAGGGCGCAGCCGCGAACGCAGGGATGTTTATTGTTCTCGCCAAACCTCGCTTTGTCGTACCTTAACTCCCTCCAGCTAATCTCCTCGTGATCTCCTGGTCTGCTCTTGCTGACCCGTGCCATAGGCAGGCACCAGCCAGCGTGCAACATGTCGGTGGGGTCAGCTGCGGCCTGCGCCCCTGTCTCCCGTATTCATGTCTCCTCTTCCCCACTCCCACTGTCCCTACCAGCCCCAGGGCGGCCCCTCGGGAGCATACGATATGTCAGTAGGAGACTTTTGAGTCGACTCAAAAGTTACGATATGTCAGTAGGAGACTTTTGAGTCGACTCAAAAGTTACGACATGTCAGCGGGGTCAGCGGTGGGGTTCGTGGTGATGCTGTCTGTGATGCTGCTGCAACCCCTGCTCATGTCCACCTCATTTATATCCCCTCTCTCCTCCCGTGATTGAAGAAGTGTTTTGAGACGTCTCAAAACACGTCTCAATACACGTCACAAAGCACTGCTGCTGCAACCCCTGCTCATGTCCATCTCATTTATATCCCCTCTCTCCTCCCCAATACTCCAGCCACAAGGCGACTCCTCGGGAGCGTATGACATGTCAGTGGGGTCAGCAGTGGGTTTCGTGGTGATGTCGTCTGTCATGCTGCTGCTGCTCTTCTTCCTCATGTCGCCCCTCGTCTTCTACATCATCCTCACGCTCTTCTGCGTTGCGGCGCTCGAGGTGAGGAGGGATCACTTTCTTCTGCAGCACTCTCCTCCTGCAGCTGTTGTTGCCCCTTCAAGTCTCCAGCAGCTGTTGTTGCCCCTTCAAGTCTCCAGCAGCTGTTGTTGCCCCTTCAAGTCTCCAGCAGCTGTTGTTGCCCCTTCAAGTCTCCAGCAGCTGTTGCCCCTTCGAGTCGACTCAAAACCACCCCTTCTTGTCTTGTCGTCCTCATGTCGCCCCTCATCCTCACGCTCCCTTCTGGTCTTGTCCTCATGTCGCCTCGTCTCGCCCTGGGGCTGCTTCCTCCAGCTTCTCGTCTTCGACATCATCCTCACGCTCCTCCCCTTTTGCATGCATTTTATGTGCGACCCTGTCATGCAGCATGTGTTCTTGTTGTATCCTCTTACTCCTGATCATGTGTCACCCCCCCACCTCTCATCTCCTGTCTTTCTCCGTGCGGCCGAGTTTTTAGTCGACTCAAGAATCACTTCCATTCTTAACATCCTCTTTTGTATCTGTCACTCCTGACCCTGTGGTCCCCCACCTCTCGCTCTTGTATGCGTCTGTATGTGCCTGTATGCCACTGTATGCCACTGTATGCCCCGACATGCCCCTGTATCCTGTTTTTGCCATGCAGTCGCTCTATGTGTGCCTCTCCTCGCTCCTCCACAGGTCTGTCAACCTTTCCTCTTCCTTATTCCCGCCCTCTTCCTTGCTCCCTCCCGTTCCTTGACCTTTCGACTTCCTTGCTCGCTCCCCTTTTCTGCGCCACCCCATTTTTGCCATATCCGCCCCCACATTACTCTTCCTTCTCGCCACCACTCCCATCGTTCCCATGCGATTTCATCCCCAAAATTTTCTCATCCCTCAGTTTTTTACTCTTTCTCTAACAAGGAGCAAATCTTTCTGCCATTTCCGTGCACCATCACTTTTACCTCTGTTTACCTGGACCATTCCGCTCCCCTTCTCCCTTTCTCTCCCCAGTTCGCCCCGCCTTTCACTCCCTTCGAATTCGATCTGGAGGGTTCCCTTTCATTCGTTTGCTGGTGGCCCTCTCTCCCATCTTCGGATTTCTCTCCCATCTTCGGATTTTTCTCCCATCTTCGGATTTCTCTCTTGTTTTTCCCGCTCCTCAGGCCTCCTTCGCTTGTTCTCCCTTCCCCCTCGTCCCCACACGCATCTCTCATCCTCTCCCTCCAGGCTCTTCTCCATTCTCTTGTTTTTCTTGTCTCCTCTCGGCGTTGCTCTCCTCCTCTTCGGCTTCGTCTCTCCCTCTCCTCCTTCCTCTCTGCTTGGTCTAGTACCCTTCCTCCTCCGTTAATGTGTCTCTTCCCATTCCCCCTCCCCGCATCTCTCTCTCTTTCTTTCCAGGCTCTTCCCACTCCAGTCTCCTCACGGCGTTGCTCTCCCCCTCCTCGGATTCGTCTCCTGGCTCTCCCTCTCCTCCTTCCTGCTCTCCCTCGCCCTCACCATCACCTGGGCTATCTTCCGCAACCACCCTGATGCATGGGTGGCACAGGATATCCTGGTATGACTACACAGGGTTGGGTTGGGTTGGGTTGGGTTGGGTTGGGTTACATCCACCCGGATGCATGGGTGGCACAGGATATCCTGGTACTAGTTTTGATTCTTCTCGGAAGTGTCTCCTGGGCTATCTTGCTTTATAATAAGGGGGGGTTGCGCCCACTCAGACTCATGGGTGGCACAGGATATCCTGTTATGCGGAAGGCAATAGAATCAGGAGATGCAGGATGTCCTGGTATGAGCAAGAGAATGGAGTGAAGGGGGTTGGGGAGGAGTGGGGAAGGGAGGTTGGGAAAGGGGAAGGGCAAAGGGGGTTTTGCTGTCTTAATAGTCTTCTTACCGTATGATTTTTTAGGCGAGTTTTCATTTGAGCTGCCTTGTAACGAGGTGGGTTACGACTGTTGTCACTCCACACCCACATCATGTGCCCGCTTTCCCTCGCCTCCCCCTGTCTCCCCTTGCATCCCACCACGCGCCCCACTCTCCCCATCCCTCCTTCCCGCGGCAGGGCATAGCGCTGATGATCACGGTGCTGCAGGCAGTGCCTCTGAAGCCCTCTTTGTCCTTTTACCGCCCGCTCCCCCCCACCCCTCCCCACCCTATCACAGGGCATAGCGCTAATGATCACGGTGCTGCAGGCAGTGCCTCTGAAGCCCTCTTTGTCCTTTTACCGCCCGCTCCCCCCCACCCCTCCCCACCCTATCACAGGGCATAGCGCTGATGATCACGGTGCTGCAGGCAGTGCGTCTGAAGCCCTCTTTGTCCTTTTACCGCCCGCTCCCCCCCACCCCTCCCCACCCTATCACAGGGCATAGCGCTGATGATCACGGTGCTGCAGGCAGTGCGTCTGCCCAACATCAAGGTCAGTCCGCCGGTCCTCGCACCTTCTCGCACTCGCACTCTCACATCCTCACACCCTCGATTGCTCCATTGCACCCCCACCCTTGTACACTGCCATGGGCTATGCATGGGCTTGTGTTGTGTCTTCCATTTCCCCTCCTCATCATGTCTCTCAGCATGTCTCTCAGCATGTCTCTCAGCATGTCTCTCAGCATGTCTCTCAGCATGTCTCTCAGCATGTCTCTCAGCATGTCTCTCAGCATGTCTCTCAGCATGTCTCTCAGCATGTCTCTCAGCATGTCTCTCAGCATGTCTCTTAGCATGTCTCTTAGCATGTCTCTCAGCATGTCTCTCAGCATGTCTCTCAGCATGTCTCTCAGCATGTCTCTCAGCATGTCTCTCAGCATGTCTCTCAGCATGTCTCTCAGCATGTCTCTCAGCATGTCTCTTAGCATGTCTCTTAGCATGTCTCTCAGCATGTCTCTCCCCTCTCACCAGGTGTCCACTGTGCTGCTCTCCCTCGCTTTCTTTTACGACATTTTCTGGGTCTTCATCTCGCCGCTCTTCTTTAACGGAAAGAGCGTTATGATCGAGGTCAGTGCGTCTGCACGGTCCATTTTCTGCCTGCCTTCCATTTCCGCTTGTCATCCGAATAGTATGTGCCATCCACGTCGGTTCGTCCCCGTCTCATTCTCTCCGACGTACTCAAAACTATGTGTTCTGTTCGTCCAATCCTGTGCTTCCTTCCAGGTGGCAACAGGGGAGCGCACGGGAGGAGAGGGCATACCCATGCTGCTCAAGGTGCCGCACATAACAGATCCATGGGGGGGATACTCTGTGCTGGGCTTTGGCGATGTTGTGCTGCCAGGCCTCCTCATCGTCTTCACCAGAAGGTAGACTGCTGTTCTCATTTTCTTAGGCGCCTAAATAATCCTCCCGCTGCTCAAGGTGCCTTCCCAGGATCCCGGGGAGGGATACTCCGAGCTGAGCTTTGGGAACATCGTGCTGCCAGGCCTGCTCATTGTCTTCACCAGAAGGTGACTCGTTGTGGTGACTTGTTGCGTACTTCCAGGCAATTTGACTCGTTAAATTGGAGTGAATGTACATCCATTGTTGTCAGCTGTGGTCTTGGTGTTGCTCCAATCTGCTCTGCTTTAATCTTCTCTGCTCCCCTCTGCTATGCCTTCCTCTTTTTCTTGGCTGACTCCCTCCTACCCGCCGACCTGTGTATCTCTCCTCTGATTCCGAGTGCATTAGATATGACTGCATCACCAAGAAGATGGGCACGGGCGGCTGTTGACGTCTTTGTGAGAAATTTGTAAAAAATACTTCTTCTGTGTTGTCTTTTGAGTCACTCAGATACGACTGCATCACCAAGAAGATGGGCATGGATGGGTACTATCTGCCGGCCATCATCGGCTATGCTGTGGGTACGATTCTGGCTCTCTTCTCTGTACGCTTGAGAAGCGGCAAACTTTCATTTGTGGCTTGCATTTGCATTACATGTGGTGCATTCGTGATGCACGTCCTGCACTCACAGCACAAGGTGGTCTGCTCTAGTCTGCTCATTTCACATGTGTGCCTTGCCACAGTCTCAATGCTGCATGCTCATCCCGCTCCTCTGCTTTTTCTGCTCGTTGCATGGCAGGCCTGCTTCTCACGTTTGTGGGGCTGCTTCTGATGAACGGCAACGGACAGCCCGCGCTGCTTTACCTTGTCCCTTGCACCCTTGGTATCTCCTTCTCCCTTTAGTTTTGTTTTAACCCGTCTCCCCACGCCGTTATCTTTTGACCACTTTCGGCTGTGTCTACAGCTCCCAATCGGTTTGAACCCGCAGTCTGTTAGCTTCACCCATGCTGACACCATTCCCCTCCTGCCATCCTCTCATCGTTGCCCATGTGACCTGGCCTGGCAGGGGTGATTGTGCTGTTGGCGTGGCGACGAGGGGAGCTGAGTGCTCTCTGGAACCGGGGAGAAGAGAGCTCTGAACCCAGGTAGGCTTTCTGTCCGCATCATGCCATTTTTGTGCTGCGGAAATGCACCCTGGCACACATGGGGGACACATTCAAGCTGCACGTGGGATTGTATCATGCTGCGTCGGGGTTTTCAAGCGATGTGTTGCTGGCATGCCTGTGGCTGCATGTCCCACCTTGTCCCATCCCAAGTTGATGGATGGCAGCTGTTTTCTTGGACATCCAGGGTGACATGTACTGGCTGATGATGTTTCATGTTTTCCTTCTCACGCTTTTCTGCCACAGGGTGTCTGAGGATGAGGAAGAGCCTCTGGTGGGATCTGGGCCTGCTCGCACAACCTTCTCTGAGGGCAGAAGAAATGATGTTTCGCAAAGGTCTTCTTCATAGTGGTATCACATAAAGTGACAGCCCTAGTGAAATGCGCATCGGCGTGGCTCTCGTTTGGAACCTATCAATGTATACATCAGGCAGATCCATTCTCACTGTGGCTCACATGGAAGCAACACGTCGCGTTGTAGACCCGTACACCATGTTTTAAAGGAAGAAAATGCACTCTACATGATCATGGTACTATTGACAGCCATGGGTGGTTCTGCCTTTTTAATATTCACCATGGCCAAGCGCACTGGTCACTGCATCTGAGTGTGGTGCATCTGCAAATAAGCTACGGTACACTTGGCTCAAGTGTGTCAAACTGGCCTTGACAGTGCAGGGCTTTTCTATCTTGAAACTTGGGACTCTTGGGAAGCTACAGGAGCCAATGGTACTAGACATCATAGATATTCCAAAATGTCCCAGATGCAATATGGCATGGGGGCATTGCCAACACAGGGCGTCTATTCAGATAACCTGCAAGCATGTGGGTTGGTGGGAGCACACACGGAATGCACACATCAGAAAGAGAGCATAACTGGGTGGTAACTGACAAAAGCACGAGTCTGTCAAACAATGGCAGGTCAACCAACCAGTGAACTACATTGAGCAGGACTGATGTGGTCAACTTTTAAAGAAAAAACCCCAGTGAAAAGAAAGAAAGAAAGAAAGAAAAAATGTCACTTACATGGTCAGGTTTTCCCAAAAGCCTGTTTGATTGCCGTCTTCTGGTCTGCTGTCAACCTGGACGGATACTGCACTTCAAACTTGACTCTCAGGTTACCCTTGGTCCCCTTGGTCGGCATGCCCTCTCCACCCACCACCTTTTCAAACCCTGGCTTGATGATGTCGTTTACTTGAAAAGTAAGCTTCCGGCCATCAAGTGTTGTGATGTTTGCCGTGTAGCCAGTAAGTGCATCCACAAGGGGGACTTTGCACATGTAAACAAGGTCGTTCCCATCCCGTGTGAACCTGTCATGAGGCTTCTCGTCAATCACAAAGGTAATGTCTGCAGGAATCATTCCAGGCTGCTCGTTACCCTTTTCTTCAAAAGTGACCTTTGTTCCCTTCTTCCAGCCCGGCTTCACATTGATCGTCAATATCTCGTCCACAGTTTTTTGTCGTCTGCAGAACCAATGATGTGAAGTTGCAGAGGTGAATGGAGTTAGGGCGTAATGACCAGAACGAAACAAGAGGAAGATGGTAGAAGAAGGAAAGAGGACGGGGAGAAAAAGGCAGGGAAAGTAGTAGGGATAAGAGTTTCTGAGAGGTATTGATCGTAGGTTTGACTGGAAAAATGAAAGGCATACCTACCCGTTTGCATCTATGATGTTGCGTGAGATCTTCATCTTCCTGGAAGATCCTGAATACAGTTCCTCTAGCGTACATGGAAGCTTGTTTTCCACGGGTGGGGATTTTCTGGGACCAGTCGAAGCTGATGAAGCCTGAGAACCGTATATGCCATGGTCGAACATATCCTGATACTGCATCGATTCCCCCATACCGTTGGCGCTCCCCATGCGACTGAATCGACCACTTGGCATACCACCCATGCCACCCATCCCGCCAAATCCGGGTCCGTAAGCCCCTCCAAACGGACTGTGTCCGCCGAAGACCTCCGCGAATATGTCCTCAGCGCTTCGTGGGTTGAAACGGAAGTTGCCATGCGAGTGACCTCCATGACTGCTGTACGACCCCCCTCCGGGTGCAGCCTGCCCTTTCAAACCCTCCTCGCCGTACTGATCGTAGATTTGTCGCTTCTCGGGATCACTTAATACCTGCACGTGACAAGTTCTGTAGGTTGAGGGTAAACTGGCAAGTTACAGCGATGAAAAATCAGCTGCTAGGCAAAGGGTGTACCTCGTACGCCTCCGAGATTTGCTTGAATTTAGCTTCGGCTGCTTTCTTGTTGTCCGGATTCTTGTCCGGATGCCATTTCATGGCAAGCTTCCGATACGCCTTCTTCAAGTCGTCATCACTTGCGGATTTTTGGACTTCTAATAAGTCGTAATAGTCAACCCCCATTTGAGAACCTAATTCTTCTGAATCCTCCAGCAAAGGTCAACGGTCACAACGGTTATGGATGCTACTAAAGAATATTAGACAGGGATCCTGGTACTGCACGGCAGTCACGTCAGAACGGATTCAAGACGTACATCCAGCTTGTAGCGAAACGTTAGTCGTGCGGGTTCATAGTGTGCATTTGTTCCACATGATCTCTTGTTATCAATTCAAATATGAAACAAGACTTGTATTTCACTATTTCTAGAATGGAAATGTCTTAACATAAATGTCTTCAATCGGCAACATAACGAAATTTATTGAGATTAATGATACATGAGCAAAATAAGTTAACCTAGTTCTACAAGGCATAAAAAAGGTAGCAAAAACCCCTTGTCCCATATTTCTTCACCATCAACTTCACTTCTGCATTGTCTGATGAGCAGGAGCATCCAATTCATCATCTTCCTCATCTTCCTCCACTTCCTCCTCAGCATCAGGAACTGTATCCAGTGCCCCGGCAGGTGCAGGGGCGCCAGACCCACTCTCAATGTCGCCTGCTCGTCTATAGAACGAGTTTTCCACCACCTGATACTGATCCGTGGTCCGGACCTCTTGGCACAGTGCACACCAGCAGCACCACACCCAAATGCAAATATCTGTCAGGCGCCTGCTCCCACACCACCAACGGGATCCGGGGAGCTTATAAGTCTCCCTAATCTTCACTCGCCAGGCACCACCATAAGCAAGCCCGGTGATGGCAATTGCAACGCCTAAGTAAAAGAGAACGTTTTTGGAGAGATCCGCGTGAACGGCATCTGCACAGAGCTCGAAAATCAACACCGGGCCGATGAGCATGATAACGAACATCATCGCGTGGACAATCCGATGGCCAAACCCAAGCCTCTCCATGTTGTACCCGAACATGCAGCAGGGGAAGAAGCAGCTCAGGCACGCTACGCGCGGCTCGGAGCAGCACCCAGGGACTACCGACCCAGCCCATTGCGCGTCCTCCACCTTCGTGTGAGACACCATAAACGTAGCACTCCGTTGAAACATCTGCACTTTGGCCCCGTCGCCCTCTCCAACCCGCACAATGTCATAGTCTTTGCTCAGAGGGCTCAGGAGCAGATGGAGGAAGGCGAACGCGGGTGCGGCGAAGGAAACGACAGTGGTGACGATGATCAGGCTCATGGGTCGTTCACCCATAGGGTAGACCAGGAAGACCGCTGCGAAGGCGTACGTCGCCCAGCACGTTAGCTGCAGCCAGAAAACGACAAACGCCATGTGCGTGCGATCGTTGGGTTTCCGTTTCCCGTCTTTACAGTACTCGGCGCGAATCTCCCACTTATCTTTCGGCTTCCACCGGATAAGCAGAAGCACGTCTCGCATGAAGACCGGATGCCAAATGAGGCACATGAGCACGAAGAGAGCGTTTAAGATCTGAGTGGATACCTCCTTCACCTCCTCCAGCGTCTCATGGTCATGAATGTAATTCTTCATCAAGCCGAGCTCGCACATGACGACTATAACGAAGGCGAACGTCGCGAGGACACACCAGAAGAAAGAAGCGGCGTTGATAGGATTGGACATCCATTCCATCGCATATAAGAACATTCCCTTCCATGGCACGTCCTTGATTGCCGGGAGTTTCACCTTGAGCCGACGCTTCTTCTTGTTCGTAGCGCCGGGGGAAATGTCAGGCGGAGGAGCAGAGAGCTCGGTGGTTGGGGGGAGGACGCTATCTGTTGACTCTGGTCCCTGGGGCCCCATGCTTGCGGCTGAGGGTAGGGGGATTGTGGTTAAACAAAATGAGAACAGGGGATTCCAGATGGTGTTAGGCATGAGACAGGAACCATATTCTTTGTCGTGGAATGGTGGAATGGTGATGTTTTTCTTGGTGTATCTTCGACTGCTCATATGCTATAATGAAAGTTAAGCAAACTCTGCGTTCAATAGGCGATTACGATTCTCTTCTCAAAAGTGACCACCAGTGCCACGTGTGTTGACATGTTGACACATGGAACATTATTTGGGGGCATCGATTATACGAAAGCTCATTGGATGTGGCCTTAACCACAGCAAAACCTATCCAGAGTATCTCTTACCTTGGCTTTCGCTTTCTCGTATGTTTGCGACGAATCCCTCCAGAAAGAATTCGGGCAGCAACAAGTCTGATTGTGCAACTATGGTAGGAAAGAGTCAAGGAAAGCTTGACGTTATAAGTAAATAAAACCAAAAGCGTGAGGGGGTGCTTGATCGAAAATTTAGAAGCTTTCAACAACACTAGCTATACTACTCGTCAGTTATGGTACGAGCATGGCTCCTCGGCTGAAGGGGTTCAACGATGCCGTACAACAATGGCAGAAGAAAACGGAAATTATTGACTTATCAAGTCACTAAACGCATTCTGTCTGCACTCATGAAGTCAATCGTCCCCCCATTCTGACAATTTGTAGCTTCACAAGGCTGGGTGGGTGCTGCTGTTCCAAGTCCATTCCCCTTCCCATCCCAAATCCTTGGGGCAATGGGCAACTTTCCGCCCGAAGCCCACATGCACTCAGTTGCTGACCACAGGCAGCCAGAGTTCCAATCGCAATCCATTCTCATTGGTCAATACCTTTTTGTTACACGCACAGAAATTTGTGAAACAAGCCTGGAGGAACTTCGTCGTCAGCGAGGAGCTTTCATTTCGCGCCCTCGCTCTATCCGCGCCAGAGGGGGGCCTGGTCTTCCGCATACACCCTGACGAAACCTGCGGCGCGATCGCCTTGAGCACATGGCGCCAGCACAGGTGCGTCAGGGGCGCTCGTCTGAAGAAGCGGGGTGGTTACCAAACAGATCACTGAATACTCGCATATTCATGCACGGTTCGGATGAAGGTGAAATAATATATGTGAATTTGAGTACACCCGTGACAGAAATCTACTGTTGCATTCACATCCAACACTATATTTGCAGACTCAGATCCATCACATCTAGTATGGATACTTCTTGTTCTCTAGACCCTTGGGCGAATAGAAACAAGCCCACAGCATGGAGCCTGCTTTGCCACACGTATACGAACTGCAGCCAACAACTGTTGTCTTCCTGGCAACAATCTGATACAAGAAGAAGCGTAGGCACTGATACAACCGGATTACGATTGCAAGAAATGCACCAAAAAAAAAAGCACAAAAAAAAAACAACAGACGAAACGATTCGTACTTGAACGTAGTGGGAGCAAAAGTGTCCCGCTTTGCATCCACCCGGTAAAGGCGAGTACGTGTAAAACTTCTTCTCATCCAGCCACACGTTCACCACCTCACTGGGAGCCCACTGCCCAATCCCAAAGGTGCTCAGCAGGTTCTGGCCATAGCTGGAAAGTGCAGAAGAACGATTCATTGTCCTGCACTTGTTGTCAATCTTACCCAGGTGGGCAACCCATGCCTGGGCTTTCTTCGCCACTGTAAAAGATGGCGCGGGAGTTTGGAAGAATATGGTCAGAAAAAAAAGTTCAGTGATAGCGACCAACTGCAGGTTTCTAACTGGCTAACAAAACGGTATGTGGAAGGAAAAGGGTAAGAGTGGAAGGATAAGGACTAAGAGTGGACGGAAGGTTGCCCTGTACTTACAGGAGTCACTCCACTTCAGGGCGGGTAACTTCACAGCAGCACGAGCAGCATTGTGAGAATCAAGGAAATCTGAATGGCCAATAGCCTCGCACTTTCCTTCCACACGGCGGTAACCCTCAGTGCAATTACACACCCCAGCTCCGTTCTTAACGTAGCAGCTGGCGTGCGGTCCACAGTTGAGAGGAGTGCAAACGTCTGGGGCAAGAGAGGCGAATATGATACACGTCAGGGGTAGCAGGAATGCTATAATCAGGCAACACTCTGCACACGCTCTATGCAGCTCTATAGTGCAGTCTGCAGGCAACACTTGAGATCTTTGGGTACTGCGGAAGGGCGCTAACGATGAGCACTTACCAACGCACTTGCCACCCTTCTCCACGTGCCATCCAGTGTGCTATTAGGGGGACACGAGTACAGCTTGTTCAGGTCCTGACCTGCATAAAACAGCCAATCCAAGCTCCTTAAAGCATGATAACCATGTGTTGCAGTGCCGCCTTGTAAAGCACTCAGAAGCTCAGACTGCTTTAAGTGCCCCTAAGAAACAAACGGCATAGGGAGATGTTGGAATGCTACAACGTACTGTAGATGCAGCTGATGGAATGAGGGCGAAATGAGGCTCTGGGGTATTTCCTGCAAACGGAAAACAGGTCGGGGAGGCAAAATCTGTCAGCCTTGATATGCAACACAGATATAGACCTCCTGCTGTTCTTTGATTTATACTCCAGAAAACCCTAGATCACTGGGAAAGGGGAGGGATGGGGTGCTTACGGGCGCTTGGTTGGCGAAGGCGGGCTGTGGTCGGTAGGATATGTGAGGTAGTCCGTGTTACCGATCTCGCAGTTCGTCGTTGGCCAGAAGTGCACCTGCAGCTCCAGCGAGCCCCAAGGAGGAAAAATCAACCGACATAGAACCTCAGATAATTGCTCAATGGCGTCTGCACATTGCTGTTAAGGACGTAGCGTTGCTCCTCTCACCTCCTTGCACGTGACGAAGAACATGTCACGTTTCATGGCGTCCGTCGGTGCGTACCATTCGAGTTTGAGGGATCCAAACTTAGTACACGGGAGGTACTTCGACGGGATATTGATACACCCGACTGTTGGGCTGGGAGCGTAAGTCACCCAATTTGCGCCGGTGTAATCCGTCTGGTTCCACCAGGTCAGCTTCGTACCACATGGCGTATCGCGATTAGGTGACACTTTGATAATCAGGGAGCGGCGTGTGGATCCTGAGTTGCAGATAAAGCCGGTAGATACATTTTAAAGGTCGGAGGAGGAAAAAACGAGGCAGGAAGCATACTGCGGGCGGAAGTCGTGTGATTGCGAAGACTTGCGCCGGGGGAACCCAAGGGGCCTAAGGAGAAAGGAAGATTCTTCCAAAAAAATTGCTCAACACAAAACTGGCAAATAACTTACGGACACCAGTCGAGAAATCTGGGCCTGTAATCCTGGAAATTGGCTGGACATAATTTAAGTGATCTACTGAAAGCGCGAGCGAACAAGTTGCAGAGGATCAGAAGCGGGCATTGGAAGTGTGGGAACCTAAACAGGCAACAAGAATTCCACGGACCTGGCGAAGCAGCAGCATTACTAGAGAGAAATCCCGAGCACAGTAGAAGTGCGAGCTTGATGGCACCCATCCAGGCGTGTTCACTGAACGCCATCTGTATTTTCCAGCAAAATTCAGCACCTTCGGTTGAGCAGAGGGGCTCGATTGCGTGGATAACGAATTGGATGCGTTGATGATATGCGGAGGGTATTTGTACGTGTAACGCATCGCAGAAGTGGCAGGGCGTCGCGACAGGTCTGCTGTCGCGAGTTCGTCGATTTTCAGTACTGTAACTTCTACTGATCGCACAGCTGAAACCGCAAATCAGCCGTCGAGCTGAGACAAGCCAGCTGTAAGGAAATTCCCTTTTCCTTACTTCGCGTCCCTGCCCAGCGCGTACGTCACTGTAGCACCTCAGTCAGCACCGTTACCACTCGCGACCATCGCATCATTCATCATCCCGCCTTTTTCGCACATCGCATCCCGACCTCACGGCTCGGCTGGTAACCCGCGCTCCGGGCCTACGCTTCGACACTTTCCCAACCTCAGTCCCAGGCTCGACGCGCGACAACCACAGTCCATTACCGTTACCACTATTGTTTCGCTATATAATCCTTCGCTCATGCCTTCGCTCATTGTACTTTTGCTTCGATAATGCAATTCTCGTTCGTTCACTCAATTGCACACGTAACACTTGGTATTCAGAGCCTACGATCTCATCTCGGACCGCATCCACACCTTCGCTTCCCACTATCTCAATTTTTGGGGGGGGGTAGACGTCTCTCAGCGACACAGCACCGCCGCTCGAAGTGCTCTCTCGCAAGCACGCACGGCCACGACCGAGGCTCTCGCTGAGCTTGCCCGACACCCCCGCCATGGCCGACCTCAATCTCGCCACGTTGACGCAGGAGCAACTCGATCGTCTCGTGCGACAATTGGAGGATTCGGCGCTTGAAATCGCGACGCTCACGGCGGAACGTGACTCCGCCCGTCAACAGTCAACGGTGAATGCTCCGACAACATCCCACGCACCAACCAATGTCTCTGTACATTCGGAGGAGCCGATTATCATTTCATCCGGCACACCAACGCAACACAACAGCACGGGACAGCGCTCAGGCGCAGCCAGTGACGGCGCAGCCCAACCGATGCCCGGCATGGGAGGGAACAAGAGCACGCTAAGCCCACGGGAGCCCCGAGAAGCCCGTCGGCACGTGGAGTTTGCGACGACAAGTGGTGAAAACGCCATGATGGCCCCAATGCCACTCAAGCCGCAACGCCCTCCCTGCTTCGACCCAAGCCAACGCGGCGGCCCGACAGTTCAATCGTGGGTCTTCACGATGAATGTGTTTTTCGACGCCAACTACGTCGAGTCGGACGCCGCCAAGATTCGGTATGCGGTTTCACTACTCAGGGGCCCCGCCATGGACTGGTGGCGAGTCATCGTGACGTCGCCACGCGCCTATGAGCCACCGTCGCACGAGGAAGGGCCCTCGGGTCCAGCTGTCACCTGGAGTTCGTTCTGCGAAACAGCCCAATACAGCACGTGGGATGCGTGGTGCGCAGGGCTTCGGGCGCGTTTTGAGCCGATCGCGGCTTCGATTTCGGCGCGTCAGAAACTGCGCACTTGGCGCCAGCTCGGGTCGGTTCAAGACTACACCAGCGGTTTTCTCGCACTTTGCGAACAGGTCGGCCACATGCACGAGGCGGAGTGGGTGGACCGTTACGTCGGAGGGCTGAAGCCGGACATATCGCACGAGATAATGCTACGCGGGCTATCGAATTTCAACAAAATCCTCGCGCTCGCCGAGAAAATCGATATCCTACGCCGACCGAGACCGGGGTCCTATTTCGGACATCGCCCTCGGGGACCGATCGAGCACGCCACTGTACATGCCGTCGCAACGAATGCAGCTGCCACGCCATTTAGAGGGCGCTGCTTTGCTTGCAACCGGCCAGGCCATCGCAAGAGCGAATGCCCAGAGGAGCTGAGGCGTCGAGGAGCAGAGCAGGGGAAGGAGTCTCAGAGGCAGGGAAACGCCAGCAGTCAGTAGAAGTTGGGCCAACTACTGACGAGACTGCCTGCTCGCCCAACCACACCGACCCTCACCGAGTCACAGTACCGATTCACGCCATCGATCGGGCTCGGATGAATAAGGAGGGTACAGCGACGGATTGCCCGGTACTGATCTACGGGAAAATACAGGGAGCAGCAGTGAAAATCTTCATTGACGGAGGAGCAAGTCACAGCTTAGTTAATACTGCAACCGCACGGAAATTACAGTTAACACTTAACCGATGTTTACCTGAGATAGATGCACGCTTAGTCGACGGCACGCCATTGGCCATACGAGAAAAAGTGGAGCGAGTAAAAGTCCGCTGCGGGGGAAACTTCGGGTTTACACAGGAAATGCTCGCAACGACGCTGGATGGGCACGACATTTTACTGGGACGTGATTGGCTGCGACGGTACAACCCACGGATCGACTGGACGACGGGGAGCTGCACAGTACGAAGTAGCGGTAACTGGGTCGTCCTACCTCGCTGGCGGCCACCCGAATCTTCGACAGTCCAGGTCAACGCCATCGCGATGAAACGGGCTGTCGCTGCTGGAGCTGACGTGTACGCAGTGGATATCGCAGTGGTAGAAAAAGACGAGCAGCAGAACGATTTACAGAAACTGCTAGCAGCCGTACCGACCGAATTACAGGCACTACTGAAACGGTTCCCGGGGATATTTCCGGATGATTTACCACAGGGACTGCCACCTCAGCGAGCGCACGACCATAGGATCGAGCTAGAACCGGGGGCACAGCCAACAGTACAGCGGCAATTTCGACTGACACAGCCGGAGCTCGACGAGTTAAGGAAGCAGTTAGATTACCTGTTAGAGAAGCAGTTTATTCGACCGAGCTCGTCACCGTTCGCCGCACCCATACTGTTCACACCGAAAAAAGACGGAGGTTTTCGCATGTGCATCGACTACCGAGCGCTTAACCGAGTAACTGTCAAATCGCGATACCCAATCCCCCGCGCCGACGAACTGATTGACCAACTGCGAACAGCACGTGTCTTTTCGAAAATAGATTTACGAGGAGGTTACCATCAGATTCGCGTCGAACCATCGGACTGCGCAAAAACAGCATTTAGGACTAGGTACGGGTCATTCGAGTATACAGTAATGCCCTTCGGGTTGACGAACGCGCCTGCGACTTTTCAGATGACCATGAACGAGGCATTTAGGCCACTTTTAGATAAATGCGTAATCGTTTACCTAGACGATATCCTCGTTTACAGTCGGGATAAGCAGCAACACTTAGCAAGTCTTGAAGCAGTTTTTAAGGTTTTAGAGGAACATCGGCTGCTCACCAAGGGCTCCAAGTGCGAGTTTTTTAGGGATAGGCTAGAGTTTTTAGGTCACGTCATTTCAGAGGCTGGGGTTGAGATTGACCCAAAGAAGCTGGACACGGTAAAAGCGTGGCGCCCCCCGACGAACATCACGGAACTTCAGAGTTTTTTAGGGTTTGTTAATTACGTTCGACGGTTCGTGCCCGACATGGCACGTTTAACAGCCCCACTAACTGATTTACTGTGTAAGGGGGTCGCTTTTACGTGGGGGGAGAAAGAGCATGCTGCCTTCTCTGCCCTAAAAAACGTTCTCTGCTCACCACCCGTCCTACGCATCGCTGATCCCCACCGCCCTTTCGAAGTGGTTACCGACGCAAGTGACATCGCCATCGGAGCTGTACTGTTACAGGACTTCGGCAACGGCCTCCAACCCATCGCCTACGAATCACGCAAACTACATCCGCCTGAGCGAAATTATCCAATACACGACCGCGAAATGCTCGCAATCGTGCATGCATTCAAAGTTTGGCGCTGCTACTTGACTGGCGCAGACGTGACAGTACGGACAGACCACCGATCTCTACAGTACCTCCGCGCACAGCCCCACCTCAACCCACGACAGATTCGATGGCTCGATTTCCTCGAGTCGAATTTTCACTATACGGTCACATACAAAAAAGGAGCATCGAATATCGCCGACGCACTGACCCGCCCCACTGCCCAGATCCACGCGATACTACTCGCCCAGACCAGCCCACTGCTTACCGGCCTATTTACCCACGGATATCAAACAGACCCGTTCTTTACAGGAGGCAACTCACAGCAATTCGCAGCGGCAAAAGGAGTCTATTACGTAAAAACTGGAACCGACCGCATCTGGGTACCGGGATACACGTTACTTCGGGAACTACTGTTACAGGAAGCACACGACGGGGTTACCTCGGGACATTTCGGGGTAGAAAAAACACGGCAGCAGCTGCAGCGGTACTACTACTGGCCAGAAATGTTGACTGACGTGCAACGACACGTGGCATCGTGTCCCACTTGCCAGCTCATGAAGACAAGCAGGAAGCGACCAGCGGGGCAATTACAACCCATCCCGCCTCCAGAGCGTGCTTGGCAGCAGGTGACGATGGACTTCGTCACGGGGTTACCAGCTGGGGCGAGTGGGAATGACGCGATCCTGGTCGTCGTCGATCGACTAACGAAAATGGCTCATTTCGCAGCATGCAGGAAATCCATCACAGCCGAAGAAACCGCCCGACTATTCATCTCCACCGTCGTACGCCTGCACGGGATACCCGCGTCGATCATCAGCGACAGGGACACGAA